GGTTTCCCAGAGAAGTTGTGGCTGCCCCATCCTTGGGAGTATTCAAGGCCAGGTTAGATGGGTCTCTGAGCAAAGTCTGGTAAATGGTATCCCTGCCCATTGCAGAGGGGCTAGAACTAGGTGTTCTTTAAGGTCCCTTCCAGTCCAAAACATTCTGTGATTCTATCATTGCTAAACTGAAATGCCCAGCGCAGTTGTGGGAGGGTTGAGGATATTTGTTTTCTACTGCACAAAATTGTGACACTATCATTTGTTTATTCTTTTTCTTACAGCTCCACCTTAACAAAGATGCATTATTCATTTTGTAACTTAAGAAAAAACCTAGTCTTTCTCTGATTTCTTGTCTCTTGGAATTAGGAACATAGCTGAACAATGCTGACTGAGTTCGATTCAGTTAATTTTATAAATATTTGCTCAGCAGCATTTGTCAAATTGCATTAAATCAGGTAGAAAAGCAGTCAAATTCCAAATTTAAAAAAAATCAAAGTGCAGTGCACAGACTGGATAAGGGTTATACTCTTTCCCTCCTGTCTATATCCCAGCATCTATGGACTCTGCAGGGTTTGTTTGCCAAAATGAGACGAATATGTACCTTAAAAATTTGAAGTCTCCTAAAGTTCATAGTGTAATTATTTTATATTTTTTCTTCACAGGCTGGAGTGTCTCGGCAACTTTTAAAAACATTCCATGGGTTTTCTATGCCACAGCTCCCTCAAGTGGTAGAATAATTTTCCATTTGGAATTGCAGCTTGATTTCTGTGACACACTTGCATTCTCTTCAAAAGGTTTTGGGGCTTCTCCGAACTTATTGCTCTATCTGATTTATAACAGAAACAGAATTCAGAGAACAGGAGTCTGAGCAGGGAAGAACTTAGGCTTGCTATACTTGGGTTCCCAGTGAACTTTGGCTAGAAAGTACACTGCAGTATTACCATGGCATCAGTAATTTCAAGTTTCTCCCTACAAGAATAAGAAAATCATGTTTTCTACAGTTGTCTGACATAATCATGTTGGGCCTTGATTAGGAAAGCAGAAAAGGTGCTTGGCATTCAGACTTAATATGAAATGCAAGGCAGGCTCCCCAGTATTAATGAGCTTTGCTTCATCCTTTGAAAGAAACCATGATAGTAAAATAAAATGTTGAATTACTTTGTATGTTCCTTATAAGTTTAGGAAGCTCTGTTTAATTTCTGCTTGTGTAAAACTGTGGGGTCTGTGTCAACCTTGGTGATAAATCTGGTCCCTACTTGATTTGTAGGGCAACAAACATACAAACAACTTTTTATTATTTTCATCACACTTCCTTTTAATTTCGAAACCGAGATTAAATTTATACTTGAGTAGCTAGTGTAATATTTCAGTAGTTAGTGTAATATTTCAGAAGTATAAGTTGCTTTTCACCTTGAAAGATTTTAAAATTTATTGCAAACTAGGTATACACAACAAAGCTAGGACCATTTCAAGACCATTTTCCCTGCAGAAACCTCTCTGATATCACTGATTATTACCTTTATTCAGTGGTTTTTTAATGTTGTTTCTTATGCTTCTCGCAATTACCAGTGAATATCAGACCCAAGATCTGAAGTAAATGTGGAGTATGCTGGAAGAAGCATAACTGATTCTAAGGCATAGGGCAATCATACTGGCTTAACATACAGCTGTCACCAACTCTGCCCTGGACTGCATGGAAAGCAGCAAATTGGCAGATAATAATTTTCTAAGGTCCACTTCTTGGTATTCTGGAGACAGGGAACTGTTCTTGCTTTGTGATGGCTCTCCTACATGACAGAGCTTTTCTTTCTGTTCACAGCTTCTGTGTTCCCGTGGAAGAACAGAGGAGTTCTCAGAGGATGCACTCACATTCTTTTTAGTATGAGGATGCAGAGGGCTCAACTTAAGTATGTGAAAACTGCATCCTGAGTTTGAAATTTCTTGAGTAATAAATTGGTTTCTGAAATCGCCATTATTGAGGTTTTGCAGGACTTCAAGATGTAAGACAAGAGTGTTTAAATACAGCTTAAGGGAATGCTGTGAACATTTACTGTAGAGGATGGGTTGGTTCTGTTTCTATAGAAAAAAGTGAAGTCTTATCCTCTCTATCCTTTTCTTTTGTGGAGCTCTGAGGTCCTACCTAAAATTTAAATTTGTTTCTGTCATGTAAAAGACAAGTTAGCTGGTGGTGGTCATAGAAACAACAGGGTGCAAATTACCCAGCTGTGTCTTGTCCCTTCTCTACCCCTGTTCCCAGGAGTTTTCATCATGGAAACAATGATGCTGCAAGAAACCACCTTATGACTTCTTCCCATATGGGTGTGTGTAGCCAGCCTTGTCTCTGTCAGGCAGAGGAGTTTTTGTGGAGTAGAATCAGGATGGATGCAATTTCAGACAAAACACTGATTTTGTGCATAAACTTAGAAGGCTAACTGCAGAAATTAAGAACACAACACAATACACCATTCATTTCTGCATTCTACATTTAATTCTCCTTTTCAGCAAGAATAATGTTAAGAATATATTTTTTTTTGCATGCGAATTTGCAATAACAATGCACTGAATATTTTTTGATCAAAGGGCTTAATGAAAAGGAATCAAAAGGAAATACTATTGAAACCATGAGATTCTGTATTCTGAAGACCCCCTTTGATCTTCCTTTATGCATGAGAAAATATGAGAGCATGCTTTGATAATGCTACAGCTGCAAGAAAATATAGAGGAATCTGTCTTTAACCTTTGAGAATTTTCAAAATTTGTAGATGTCAGTGTTTTGAAACACTGCAGGTGTCATTGTTTTTGAGCTGCCCCGTCTTGATAATCCATCTGTAATATGATGCCAGAGCTAGCAAGGGGAAGGGCAGCAGTGGGACCTCAGGTAAAAGTCCTGACTCTGGCTCCTCTGATAGCTGTAAGGAGAACTTCTGAAAGAGATGTAGCATGATCTCTTGTATAGCAAGTGAAAAGCTGAGGGTCATGTAGGAACCAGAATGGTGTTTTGGGCTTCTGTATACCATTTCAAGAAAATGGTGGGAAACCCAGTGACATATACAAATAAAAGAGCATAAAAGGAAAAGAAGACCTTGTGTGAATGTACAGAAGATGAATTAATGTCATAACTGCAGGAAAGATTTGATCTTTTCCTTTGTTTCTAGGTTTAAAAATGTATGATCTGGAAAATATTGTACACAGAACCCATTGTATTGAAAAACTGCTGTCTGAGAACAATTTGCAAGATATTGAGGATCATCTTAAGGAACTTGAAGATGTTGATATGACTGTAGAATATCTTCAGGGGACAGAAGTTACCAAGGCTGTATATAGAGTACTCAAAAACTGCCCTTCAGGAGAGTTGAAAAAGAAAGCAAAGCAGTTATTGTCAAGGTGGAAAACACTTTACAAGAATAACTGTGCTCAGTCAATGCCAGTTAAAAAGTCAGTTTCTATGTATGTGAAAGAAGAAATTGAGCATCTCAGTGTAGTTCCTAGAGAGCAGTTGCTGTCTGAAGGACCATGTCAGCAGGAGGCATTAGACGGTACTAGTTCCAACAGTTTGAGCCCATCACAAACTGTTCAAAATGTGGTATGCAACAATGCAAAAGGCGGTATGAATCAGCTTTCTTCTTTTGAGGAACAACACACTGTTGATGAAGATTCTAAATCTGTTGTTGGCGAAGCAAGTCTGCAGCAGGATCTAATGAGAGCTCTGAGGTGTAAATCCGTGGATCTTCTTTACAAAGCTTTGATTGATTCTGCCAAAGATGAAGAAAAAGCTGTTAAATGGCTAGAGTTAGCTAAAGAAATTGAAGAACATATTTTTGCTCTTCATGCTAAAAATGATAAAAAGTATAAAAATTGCATCAGAAGTAAAATCTCTAACCTTAAGAACCCTAAAAGCTGCCACTTAAAGCATAATCTTTTTTCAGGAACTTTGAGCCCAAAGGCTTTTGCTGAGATGACAGTGATGGAAATGGCCAGCGATGAACTGAAACAGCTCAGGGCCCTGTACACAAAATCATCTGTTCAGGAACATCAGCTTCCACAGGTTATTAATGGCACACAGACAAACAAAATAAAGTGCAGACGCTGTGAAAAATTTGATTGCACTGTCACCATGATTGCCAGAGGAACTCTCTTTCTTCCAGCTTGGGTGCGAAACACAAATCCAGATGAACAAATGTTGACGTACGTTATTTGTAATGAATGTGGAGAACAGTGGTATCACAGCAGATGGATTTGTTTGTAAAGCTATCCTTATATAATAAGGGACTTGGAAATATGTATGAGAACTTACCTCTGTTGAAACTCTGTAATTTTAAATTCTGTGCTGATATTATGTGGGTGCTGCCACTAAAAACTGCAAAATCAGTTTTTAAAAACTGCTAATGTATTTTAAAGACGGCTTGAATTAATCTTACATGGTTTTAAGTAATGTAAATACGTAAAAATATAAAGAGTAAAAGGAAAAAATGGTTACACCATCTAAGTGGAATGTTTGCTAGTAAATCCATTAAAATTATTCCAAGTGCTGAGTTTTTTCCTGAAAGGACTGGACACTTGGAAATTTTTTTTTAACTTCAGGAAGAGTTCTTTCACGGAATATAAGTTTCATTTACATAAAACAAACTGTTTCCAAAACTGCAGTTCATGTACTTATGTGCACTGCAGAATGTTCAGCATAGATTCACTCCTTAATTAAATCACTTTTTGCCAGCAAGTATTAGATTATTAAGTTGGTTTGAGAGGTGACTTCTAACAGGGAAAAAAGAAACTAAGAATAGAGCATTAAAGGGGGTAGAAAGCAGCTAGCAAAAGAAAGCAAGAATGAGATTCTGCTTTATGTTTCTAGCTATTAGAAGGAAAACAGGACTTGTGTCAGTCTATCAGTATGCTGGCCAGATTTGCAATTTAAGCTGGTGTGTCCTGCTACTTCAAATAAATTAATGCAGGATCAGACAACGGGTTGTTTCAGAAAATGATGTAAATATATTATTGGATGTATGCTTATTTAATAAATAAAATTAATAGGAGTTAATAACTTTCTTGAGTGGTGGATATCTTCTCTGGAACTGGGACATCTGTCCTGAACTGAGAAAATGAATGCTTCTATATAGTGCACATTACACACAAACAATGAATAGAAGGAAATACAATAGCAGAAGTTTTTATACATATTTTTGTTCTAGAGTCAACAGGATTCTCACTCATTGTTCACTAGAAGTATTTATTAAAAAAAAAAAATCTCACTAAAATAAGTGACCTGTATCTTTTACAAATGCACAACAGGCATTTAGCTCTTCAAGGTTAAAATATATCAGCAGAGCAGTGAAACCTGCTGAGTATTTGCTGGAGGAATTGAGGACAGTTCTGCACCCATCTGACTGTGGCACAGCTGAGGCTGGTCAGCTCCTCTGGGCTGAGCTGCATGACCTCTCAGAGGAAGGAGTTGGGGGCATGAGCTGAGAAAATAGGTATTGGTGAACTAAATACCAGCCAGGACTGAAAGACAGGTCTTTATCTGTATATAGGGAAATATATGTGTCACCTGATGTTGCAAAGAGACACTTAAACTATTCTACTGAAAAAACAGAAGAAAAAACATTCTGTTCTGTGAAAGGTTAACAATTACCTTTCAGCAGTATTACTTAGATTTTTAACATGTAAAAATGCATGTTTTAGGGGAATTGCACTGATGTAAAATACATATTAAAGCTTTTGGCTAGACCCCCCAGTGTTCAGCTGTGTAACCAAGGAGTTACTATCTGGCCTTCCTTCCCAGCCCTTTGTTGTGTGCTGGAATTGATGCTTATGAGTAGTCCTATTAAGTGGCAGTCTTTTGTGTAAAGTACTATCATTACCTTTCAGTGAAACGACAGGAAGACAAACACTTCCCTGTTAGTGGATCACAGCGAGCACAGGATTGTGTGCAGTCATTTTGAAGGTCATGGTCCTGTTGAGGAGAACTTTATGCCAGCATTGTGCTGTTACAGAACACCATGTAGCAGAAGACTTTATTTTAGCTCTGAACAACTTATAAATAATTTCTGCTTGCAGTTGGTTTTGAAGCCATTCCAGTAATGTACAGTTCATCCAAGTTTTATCTTGGCAAAGGGAAATAAATATTACAAGGCTTGAAGAGTGTTTCTGACAGAATATATTTCAAGGGTAAAATTTGTATCTGTAACACTGAACACATTTGTGACATAATATGTAACATCTTTTTTTTTAACTGCCCATCACTAAATGTTTAACTGTGCAGGCTTAAAATATTTGGCTGGCTAAGATTATATGCTATATTATATGCTTTGTCTCAAAATGTGTTTAAAAAGCCAACTTGCAACTACAAAGTGTGTACCAACAGCAGGTGGGTGTAGATCACTGGAGTACAAGAAGTAGAGTCCAGAAACAAAAGCTTTGAAAAATGAGATTATTTTATATTGTTGAAGTAATTTTTTTTTTCCTAGCTCATTCTGGGTGAGAAAAAGATCTGTGAACTTTTTAAGCAGAGATCATGATGTTTAGCATGTCTGTGCTGCTACTCCTACAAGCAGTGTGTTGGTAGAGGTGATCTCCACAAACATAGGACAAATATATGCTGAACAAGGCTAAAGTCTTTATTTATCTCCATGGGTTTTTCCAGAAATTCTGTAAATACAACTCCTTGAGTCCTATGATTTAACAGCAGCAATAAGGTCTTAAACATAAATTGCTCTCAAAGGCCAAGCAGCCTGTAGCTGCAGAACTTGTGATACATATCTTAAGAAGATGAAAGCTGAAATAAAAATTAATTTCACACAATTTTCAAAGTAAAAAGAAAAAAAAAAGACACTATCTATCAGAAGTGCTCTATTAATTGTAGTCAATGCTGCTCTCTTAACACCAGTAACAAAACTCATTCTGGTTCCTGGAGATCCCCTGCTAGATCCACTTCCATCTGTTCTGTTGAGTGCCTTTTCTATCTCTGTCATATGCCTCTTACTGTGCACTTTTTAGGGAGGTACTCAGCTGCCATTTGTTGTTTATAACTCTTCAAAACCAAAAGGAAATTTGTGCTGTTATTTTTCATTTAAAAGTGTATTCCTTTCCGTCTGCTGTGCTATCTACATTTGCTACTAAAGCAAAGAACTGCAGCTCTTTAAACAAAAAACAGCTCTTTTTTTTGTGCCAAGAAGGAAAGTTAGCTGGAAACAGGCTGTGGTTAAGGAGCAAATATGTTGAATTACAGTCCTTCAGGGAATCTTCAGGGTGTAATGATCCAATTCACTGACTGCCTGGAAGATAAGGAAAGAAACAAGAGCACTTTGATAATTTCTTGGATTGCTTGGGAGCTGGCTAGCTGCATTCTGGTATTAAGAGAGCCATAAATGACTTCATATCCCCTTATTTTGAACTGTTGTAATTCAGCCAAGAGGTGACAAAGTCATGTTTTACTGAAGCCATGTCATCTCTTGCCAGGATGGGACATAGTCTCCTTGCCAGCTACAGATGGTAAAAAGTATTATTCACAAGCTCTTATTATAAGAGAGCTTTGCTAATACAGAACTTCCTCCTATTCACAAAAAAAAAAAAAAAAAAAAAAAAAAAGTTGCCCTTTATTTGCCATTGGATGTTTTTTGTGCTGTTCTCTCTGACATAGCATAACAACATGAATACACCTCTGTGAACAAAATCCTTTAAAGTGCAAAGTCAGCTTTCAGATGAAGGTGCATGCAAGGGAGCAGCAAGGGTGGGTTGCTGCACAGGGGAAAGTGAGCCAGGGGAGGATGGTGGGTGACAAGGCATGCAGGCATGCAGGGACAGTGGCTTCAGTTTTAAGGGTCGCTGTCCAGCAGCACCCAAACAAGAACAAGGCAGGTCCGGTGACAATGATCTGCCAAAACTCCAGTGAGAACCAGGCAAGTCTGGGAATGTGCTGTCAGATGGAAATTGGTGCACAAGGTGGGACGCAGGAACAGGTCCACCAGGCTTGTACAGTGAACCAAAATGGGGCACTTGCTGGCAGTGGGATCCTGAAGCAGCTGCCCCCACCAGCACTGCCCCAGCCCTGCTCCCCCACACTGGGATGGTCAAACAGTGGCCTCAGACAGGGGCAGCCCCACAGCAGCCTCCATAGGGACCCTGCCTGTCTGCAGAATTTAAACAGGAGTGGTTTTGGTGCACTTGTTTCAAACTGTCCTAACTGGGCATGTTCTTCTGTCTGACCTCAGGACTGCCAGATGTGCTTCATGTGACCAGCCCTGTCAGAAGCATTATTTGTTCTACAATTTGTGTTGTTCTGTAGCAACTGTTGTATTTGTTACATACATGGTATGTAACTGAGTGGACACAAGGAAAAGGGCCTTCAGTTCCTGACCCTCAAGCACTCATGCAATGTGTATTAACCATGAGAGTAATGCTACAATGCTCCAGTGTTCCTATAAAATCATGAGCATAGTAGTCATGGTTACACCATGGTTCTTTTCTATTTTTTTATGTGTTCCCATGTAAAGGAAATAAAAATACATCTTACCTGAGAGGTTCAGGAATTTTGTTTCTAAATAGAACTTGAAAAAAATGAGGTATCTGGACAAGCTGAAGAATTGAGTTCCAATGGCTCCTCATCAAGATCAATGAGGGCAAGTACAAAATGCTGTACCAGGGTCAGGGCAACCCCTGATGTCGATACAGGCTGGGAGTTGAATGGATTGAGAACAGCCCTGAGGAGGACTTGGGGGTGCTGGTGGATGAAAGGCTGGACATGAGCTGGCAATGTGAACTTGCAGCCCAGAAAGAATCAAAAGCAGTGTGGGCAGCAGGTTGAGGGAGGTTGTTCTGCTCTTGTAGTTTGTGCTCATGAGATTCCACCTGCAGTTCTGCATCCAGCTCTGGGGTCTCCAGCACACAAAGGACGTGGACCTGTTGGAGTAGGTCCAGAGGAGGCCACAAGATGGTTAGAGAACTGGAGCATCTCTTCTGTGGGGAAAGGATGAGACAGCTATAGTGGTTCAACCTGGAGAAGACTGTGAAGACCTCATTGAAGCCTTCCAGGACCTAAAAAGGGGCTTATATGAAAGATGGGGACAGGCTTCTTAGCAGGGCCTGTTCCAGTAGGATGAGAAAGGAGCATAGATCCAGACTGGACAGACTGACTATATTTGGGCTAGGGATTTGTTTTTTTACAACAGTTTTTTTGTAACAGGTTCCCCAGATTGATGGTGACAGGGCTTTGAGCAATCTGATGTAGTTGAAGATGTCGCTGGTTGTTGCAGGTGATTGGATTGGATGATGTTTAAAGGTCACTTCCAAGCCAAACTCTCCTGCAATTCTAAATTTCCTCACATGTATCCAATGTGTTTCAAAACAAAATCCAGTGTTGTTTCAAAACAAAAACATGGTAGCTTCTCCCCAAAAGGTATTAACTGCAAAACAGAGTAATTATTTCTTCCACTTCTAAGTGCAGCTTTTTCTTTATAAATCATAAAATAATGATTTACAACTGATTAGAACTTCTATACCTTAAAATTATAATAATTTAAAGTCCACTTTCCTACCCCTCCAGCACTTGCTTGTATTTTATTCTAGAATTGGATGAAAGCAGATTCCAGGAAAAAAGCACTTAAATTTTTTTGAAATCCAGCTTTGTTAGATAAAAATGGATCTGGTATCATCAGATTTGCCTCTAGCATGGCCTGACTTTAATCCTGTTCCTGTCAGTAGAAGACATCTTCTTTTGATGATACTGAGATCTTGTTTTCCATTCTTTGGGCCGCGTTGATGTCTGATCCAAAACAAGGCAACTCTGCAAGTGGCAATTCCAGTCTGGTTGCATCTGCCTTATGATCAGAAGCATGTGATGACTGCTTGAGCAAATGGGTGTACTTATGCCTATCATCACTTATTCCTCCTGATGGTGTGGGAACCTCTTTAGGTTTCTGGGTTTTTTTAATTTTGCCCTCGTGAGGAGTTTGTAAGAGCACAGAGAAGATTCTCATCACTGTCTCCTTTAACTTTCCCCCTCTGATCTTGTTTTAACAGTCAAGTTGGTGTTATTCTGAATTAGTGCAGGAAAATAAGTGCCTAGCTACTTTTTGAAAACAGCGTGCTTTGTATTTTGATGAATTCCTTCATTGACACATTAAATGTTTCTACTTGTAAAGTGAAGCTGCTTTACAATTGTGAGTTGGCATACCTGGGGCCCTTAGTGGAGCACGGTGAGACTACTGCCTTTAATAAATAACTCTGACCGGCAGATACTTTATAAAGGCATTTTCGGGCTTAATAATGCAGGGCATTCTAGAGCAGGGAGAAGTGTTATCTTTTCCGGCGGAACGCTCTCAGACGGCGCACGGCAGTGATCGATGTGAGACAGCCCTCGATGGGCCTTTCCGGCCCTGGTCAGGCTGTGGGCACAGTCTTTCCCGGTGTGTTCCCGGTGTGTTCCCGTTGCTGTCCCCCCGTTCCCGCTGCTGTTCCCGCTGCTGTTCCCGTTGCTGTCCCCCGTTCCCGCTGCTGTTCCCGGTGTGTTCCCGCTGCTGTTCCCCCGTTCCCGCTGCTGTCCCCCCGTTCCCGCTGCTGTTCCCGTTGCTGTTCCCGCTGCTGTTCCCGCTGCTGTCCCCCCGTTCCCGCTGCTGTTCCCGGTGTGTTCCCGTTGCTGTTCCCGTTGCTGTTCCCGCTGCTGTCCCCCCGTTCCCGCTGCTGTTCCCGTTGCTGTCCCCCCGTTCCCGCCCCTCCCCGCCGCCCCGGGCCCAGCGGCTCCCCCCGTTCCCGTCGGGGCGTGGTCTCTGTCCGGTGGGCGGGGCCAGGTCACGTGGTGCCGGCCCCGCCCCCGGCCTGTCCGCCATGTTCGTTCCTTCCGCGGCGCCCGGCGGCGGTGGCGCAGCCCGGGACCGGCAGCGGCGGCAGGAGCGGCCACAGCCCCATCCTGCGGGCTGGGATCGGCCTCGCCAGCGCGCCCGGGAGCGGCGGCAGTTCCCTTCCCGCGGTCTGGAGCCGAGCCAGGTTGCGTTATTTTCCTTTCCCTTGTTGGCGCGGTCCCCGCTCGCTCCCCGCCGCTGTCCGCGATCCCTGGCGCGCTCCCGGTGTTCCCGGGCGCAGCCTCCGGAAGCGGGAGCGCAGCCCCGGCCGGGCCCGCGGGGGAAGGGGAATGTGGCGTGATCCGCGATCCCGTGACTCCGGGGCAGGCGGGGGCTCCTTTGGGAAGCGGCTCCAGCTGGCGTGTGGCGGTCGCCGACCCCGGAGCGCTTCCTCACGTCTGAGAGACATCACTGGTGTGTCAGGGGGAAACTGGGCTTCGTACCTGTGTCCTCAGCACGTTTCGGACGGGGAGCAGAGGAAGTGTTAAAGCTCCTTTCATCTCCTTTTTCTCGTTGCTGTGTGCGTGGAACGGGCTGCCCAGGCTGGAGCGCACTCGCCTGCCCTGGAGGTGTTCAAGGAAAGACTGGACGTGGCGCTCGGAGCCGTGGGCTGGTTCACGGTGTTCGGCCACGGGCTGGGCTCGGTGATCTCGGAGCTCTTCTGCAGCCCAGTGGGTTCTGTGCTGGAGCGGGCCCGCCTGCCCAGCGCGCCCTGGGTTTCAGTTCTTCTTTTTGGCAGCAGACACTCGGCTCAGCCCCTCTGCAGGGCCGGGGCAGTTCCCCGTGGCGGCAGGTGGCTCTGCGGGCTCAGGTGTGGGCAGGGGCAGCGATGGGCCGGGACTGGGAATCCCTGACGCCTGGGTGCTTCATGGGCTGCTCTCGGCGTAAAGCCGTCTTGCATATAACTTCTTCAAAACAGTGGGTAACACGACAGTGCAAGAAAAATAGCTTTTAAAACCTGCCATTAGTGCCTTTATAGCAAGGTTACGTATAACTAGATACATGGAGAGCATCTAAGTTTTATTAACTTGGGTGGGACAGTTAAGTAGGGAACTTGGCAAAATTTTGTTCAGGAATTGAAATGCTTGTCTGGAGATAGCTGTCATGCAGCCTCCCATCCTACGTGGTGTTTTCCTTCTTGTCCATAGTAATTTACAGCTACACTAAATAAGCATGTGGGTTTTATTTGTCTTTACTTTTAACGTGTTGTGCAACACTGAAGTTGTCAGTGCTAGCTTTTTTTAGAGCAAGGGTGGCTGTGTGTGACTGGGTTTTTTTTGGTTTTTTTTTTTCTTGTTTTTTTCGGAGTGTTTTTCCAAGACTTTTAGTAGCTTTGAAGGTAACAAGCTGTAATGGTAGACTGGAGGGAGAGCACACATACCCAAAATAAATCCAAAACATTTTTTTCTTAGTGCTTTTATTTTCAGAGAAACTTAACCAAAGTATGGTACAGCTCTGTGTTTCATACCAACATCAAATTTATAATGAACTGTTACTTTTCTCTGTCTTCATTCAGGTTATATAGAGCTGTCTTTGCTGTCTTAATTTTAGTAAAGCCTTTTCTATAAAGTTAAAAAGAGACAATATGTATTAAAAAGAACCAAAAAAACAACCTGCTCTAGCAGTCCTTGTTATACTTTTGAGTGCTCAAACACCATCAGTTTCCTTAAATTGAAAATATGTGTAAAAAAAGAATTGCAGAGGGTCAAATATGATATTTAGATTTCAGTTTCATGTTTTGTTTTATTTTGTGTCTATTTGGTAATAAATTATGGGAAACGGATCTTCCAGCTCCTTAGGTTTGGAATTTTACGTAAATGTTTGACAATGAATAAAAACTTACCAGCAAAAAGGCTTGTAAGACGTCCTTAAGGTTTGTTTGTTTTGTTGTTTTTTTTTTTAATAGTGTTCTTTCTCCTCTGTGCTTTGTTTTTGTTTTCATTCTGAGCAGAGCAGACAAGTGTGTTGGCCTGGTACAGTGTAACCCACTTAATGCCTTAGGGGATGGGCTCTCATCACAAGAGTTACACTGGGAAGAGTATGAATGTACAAGGTAGCCTTGAACCAAGAGAGGCTGCTATTACTAAGATTCCCTTAAGGAAAAGGGAAACTAATGCAAGGAAGAAGGATGAGCACATTTGGGCAGAAATAATTGCTGGATAAGTTATTGAAAGAGTGGAAGCAGTAATAAAGAAGTAGGTTGTAAGGAGAATGTCAAATAGCTCAGGCATTGTTAGCAGCATTGGACCAGGAACAGCAGCACCGAAGGGTGTTTTGGAGTTGGCTGAAAGTAATAGAATATTTGAGCTGGAAGATGTTTAACTGTGAACTGCTGAGAAATGTCAACTCTGATTAAATCGGAATAAATGAGTTTGTTCGTTCTACTTGGGGAATGAGGTTGGAGGTGAAGGTTAGGCTTATGCAAGATTAAACTGGGAAAGTTACAAATGTAGGCATTTCTCCTGACAAATTTTGCTAATTGACTTTGTGTCTAGCTAGAAGTTAGAATAAACAAAGGGATTCTGGCAGTAGGTACTGAAATGATTTAATGATCCAAGGGGTATGTGAACTTCAGGGTTCCTTCTCTTGGCCACTTTTTTTCATAGTCCCGAGTCATGCCAGGCAACTGTTTGAACTAGAATCCTGAGCTTCAAAGGAGTCAAAAACAACCTTAAAAATAAACCCCCAAATAAAACTTTTTTGGTATCTAAATGAGTAGCAACAGCTGAATGACAGTTCATTTTGGGTTGGGTTAATATAAGAAATTACAAGTAAATTCTAGTTATATTCTGGTGTTAAATCAAGGTTGCTTTAAACTAGAGGCAATTTCAAATAGTCTGTGTTTTCTTTTGGATAGGTGTTTAATAATTTGCTGAACGGGTTATCTTCATAGTGCAATGGTGAAATCACAGATACAGGAAGGAAGACTAGGGAGGAGATCAGGACTTTGGTAGGTCGAGCTGTATGACTGAAGGGCTTTGAGGCAGCTGACAAGTGACTGTCAGTAAAGGGGTGTTCCTGGTCCACAGCTTACGTCAGTGCCCCATGGAGGGGAGGGTCAGTTTGGAGGCTGACTAATGTCTCTGCTTTGGAACACGTTCAAGAGTACAAAGCCTGTAGCATCTTGGCTTCATATCTGGTTGTTCTCCTTTGAACTGAGAAAGAAGTCTTGCGAGTTTAAGCATGTTTGTGGACTCTTAGGCACTAAAAAAGCATTCTTGTACCACTTAATTGACCAGGGTATAAACCACTTTCAAATACAAGAACAAGGATTGACTAAGGGGAGAAAAGTGAAAAAATATGCTTCTGTCCTTTCTTTTCAGATTTTTGGAAACTTGCAGATCTGCTATAGGCAACAAGTTTAATCACTGTAGTGATTGAGGTCTGAGAAATGTAAATCCTCCACAAACAGTAAGTGTTGAAAACTATGTAGTTTTGTATTCTGCCCTTTCTGCTGCAACTCTTGTAGTTCTTGGGACTTCTTTTCAGACCTTTCCGAGAGAAGCAATTAATGCCATTCTTTGATGTAACTAACAAACTAGGTTTACTATGCTAGCCTGGCAGTTATTGTCAAATGCTTTGTTTGTGTGAAAAAAACCCCAACTACTAATGAGGGAGGGAGTTTACATTGCTGAAAGGCAAGTGGTCTTTTCAGTCAAAATACTTGCAGTGGTGTGCCTTTTAAAACTTCTAATTTGATACCAGTGGCTTAACAAAATATGGGAACTTAGTGAATAAAATTGTGAATAAGCTGAAATGGATGTGCTTATATGTGTAAATTTGAGGCCAGGAAGTTGTGAAACATGGTCAGTGTTATGCTTGTGGAATTGCTAATTCTGCTTGTCCATTACTTTAGTGTTTTTTCTTAAATCAAAGATGACCCCTTTTTGGCTGATGACCTATTAGGTTGTAAGTAAACATGATTACTTACATGATGGAAACAAACTTGAGAATGTTTTACATTTAACAGCTTCACTTAAAGAACAGTGTACTACATAGCCTCAAGAAAGCCTTTAGCTTTAGTCTTGGTTTTGTGTAGCAGGTGGTTCACCAGTGACCACTGAATGACAGTGATAAATGAAACAAATTTTCTCGCCTGTTTCCAAGTTAGAAAGTAAATACAAGTGGAGAAGCAATTGTCTGGAAATTAGAAGCGTCCCTTACATCTGTTTCTTCAAAATTGCTAAGGCAGTTCAGTGGTGATACAATAGGTCCAGGTTTTAGTGCCCTATTAAAAACAGGGAGTGGAGGTGAGATTTCAGTTGCTATGTGTGCTTTTTTGTTTGGGTTTTTAATGGTGTGCTGCAGTGGATGGTATCAGCATGGGAAAAATCAAACTGTAAATAGGTCCAATTGCCTTGATTTGCTTAATAGTTTACATGGGGTTTGCAGCTTGCTGCCATTATAGACGCAGTGCAGTTACTGTGTTTAGCACTGTTTATCCATAGAACTTGAGTTAGCATTTGTCTTCAGCCTTTGGTACACTGGTGTGAGCGGGTCCTCCTTAATCTGTGAAATTATTTTAAACAGAAAAAAAGGACAAATTCCTAGACTCGAGTTGGCATGTCACTGCAATGGTTTTCTAGACCAAGAATCTTGCTTTTCTTTGAATGCTTCCTCAGTACATAAGCAAGAGAGGTATTTACACTCAAAATAAAGACAGGTATTAAGCTGATATATGGAAGTAAGACAATCTAGATGGATAGACTCCACAAGGCAGTGGTATTTCATTAAGCTTTGCAGGATTGGATTTTGTAATACGAACTGATTTTTCTGAGGTTGCTTAACTATTTGTCTTTCATTGTGACAGCAAATATTTGGACTGATAGTGGAAATGTTTGACTTGAAATTCATTTTACTGTTTAAAAGGCAATAACTAATTTACTTTTTTGGGTTATGGTCTATGATCACACCATATTAAACTAAATATTAAATTTAGTAGAAAATGTTCCCTGCTTTTAACAGGAATATTGAAGTCAGTGATTCAAGCACTGTAATCCTTTAAAGTTAGGGGAAGCAATTCAGAAATGGTTATCAAAATGAACCAGAGTGGGCTACTTCTTATTTATTTGCTTTGACTTTCTTTGAATATTGAAGAAAATATATGCTTGAAGAAAATGAGGAAAATTATTCTTGTTATAGGCTCTTTGTCTACTAGATTGAGACTGCTTTTACATTAACTAATTGTGTAGCTCACTAAGAAATAACTGGAGCAAACAGTTACATGTGATTCTATACTGTCCTGTAATTCCTGATGCTGGGTAAAACAGTCAGATGCACATTAGGAATTAAGCTTTTTTTTTGTTTGTTTTCAGATGATGAATCATGATTTAGACTGAAAAATTAAGTTAGTATATCTTCAGAAACATCATATTGTATGTTAATCATCCCTTCCAAAAACACTGTCAAAACACATACAGATAAATCGTGTAATAGGAGAAATTGCATTAATTCTGGTAGTGTCTTAAGTATTTTATCATTGTATTATTTCTTGGAGTGTTAAGCTTCATAACTTTAGTAAAAACAATTACAAAAATTTAGTTCTTTAAAAATCTTATTTAAAGATGCACAATCAGAAAATAAATGCAGCAGTCTGCTGTTCTGCAAAATGCAACTCTGATTCAGCACATTACTCTAAATCACATTATCAGTGTGGCTGCAGATGAGTCCCTTATATAGTAATAAAACTGTAAATGTATAAAGTTTTAGCTGCTTTCAAACAAAAGTACTTACAAATATTTTCAGACATCCTTCTTTGGCGCTTCAGATACGGCTTGTCAGCATCTATTTAAATGACTGAACATATATTCCATTATTTTGGATTGAAAACTTTATAGAAACTTAATTCTAGCCTAGCATAGCAGCTGTGGAAACTGAATGTCCTGAAAAGCAACATTGCCTGCAACATTACAGAAGACTCTTTCTGTAGCTCTTGTGTGAAAGGACCAGTTTGGTCCACTTCTAATAGTTTGTGGTTGGTCTGTAATTGTCTGCCCAGTAAAACTAATTTTATGGTCATCAGTATCTTAGACATCACTGGAATGGCCCACATAGTTGAAATTGTGCATCTAGTACCTGCAAAGTTAATTTGCACAAAGTAGTAGATACTATTAACATTACATGTATTTTGTTTAAAATGTGGTAAATGTGGACAATTTCATGATAATAACTTCCGTTGATAAAAATGCAAATGCTAAAGAAACAAGTGCATAGTACCAGTCAGAACTACTTAAGCCAGTTATTTATCCACATTGTGTCTTTCATGGAACTTCCAATTTCTGCAAGACTGGAAAAATAAATTATAACTTGTTCCCTGCACTGGTAGGGAAGAACAGGAGAACATTGAGTACCCTGTGTTCCCACAAAAGCATTATTTATTAAGAAGCAGCTCCTGTCTATTGATGTAGAAACTGGAGACATAAATAAATACACTGGACCATTTTCAGAGTTATGCATAAACGGCAACTCTTACGCAAGTAGTCCAGTGACTCTAATGAGGCTTTTCACATGCACTAAAATATATGTGTTCATAACCTGAGCCAAAGCCATTGTCCTGTAGCTCTCTGAAGGGTAAATGAAATATCTTATTGTAGCTTCTAAGAAGTTTATTATCATACAAACCTGTATGGAATTAAGGTTTTATAAATATTGCTGTAAATTATGCAGTCTGAGTGAATTAAATTAATTGCTCTAAAAAAAATTTAATGGAAGCAGTCAATCTTTTGTATTTTGACTTTTTTTTTGTGTTGAGGCTTCAAACTACTTTTGTCTTACTGTAGATTGTGTCTAGCAAGTAAATATTCAAAGATGGAAAGTACTGATAAAAAAAATTCTTTACATTTCTTGCTACTATTGTAGACCTTGACTGTAAGGCAGCACAGAGTCATATGACTCTCACACCAGCTTGTATCAGGTACTAATTCTACAGCCACAATGTGGGTGATGTATATGCCAGTAATGCTAATTACAACTAGCAAGACCACATTCCTTCCTTCAAAGAAAGAGAGGGACTAGGCAACTTATGACCCATTTCCATTTTAAATAGATGCTATTTTCAGAGAAGCCTGTTAGGGCTGAAGCCCACACTATCAGGCAGGTTTAGGAATACAGTTCTCCTTATACAGAAACTTCAGTTTGGGCTTGATAACACGAAACTTTACTCCCAAGCAATTTAAAACACCATTTTACAGTATTAGATGACACTACATTTGTGCAGGCAAAGGTTGGGTACAAAGCAGTAATGAACAAACTACTTTAATGCTAAAGGATTTTTTTTTTTTAATTAATTTTTAAGTCTAACAGTTAAAAAGCCTTCTTTGGCGTCACTAATTTGCCATGCTGGCAGCCAGACTATTCACTAGCACTTCCAGAATCTTTGACACTTTTACTATGGGAAGTTGACACCTCCTAACTGAACTGTCATTGTAGGCTTGGGCTTAATATATGACATTTTGAGCATCATTGAAGTAGCAACAGCAAATTTTCTTTTGTGGTTTTAATAGTATTCTGTTCATCAATGCTGTTTTGCAAGGAGTAAACCATAAACTATTGAATGATCATCTAAATAAAATTACAGCATTTGCATTTGTTCCATAGATAACTGTGTTCCTAGTCCTTTGAAAGGTTTAAAAATAACTTTGGTAATAAAATACAGCACTAAAGTGACTAGTTCAAGGCACATGCTCTATAAATTCTCTCGCTCTGCTTTTTCCATGAACCTTTTCCAGTGAACATAAATGAATTATAGCACTTGTTGAATGTGATGTGGTAGCCTAGCCCTTCAGTACAAAGAGGGGGTGGTTTGAACGATTTGGGGGGTTCAAATAGTTGTGACAGACTAATAATTTATGCAGCATACTGCTTAGATGCAGACTGCAGTCTGTGGAAGAGACACCTCTTAAATTTAATATTCTTGAGTGGGTACTCTTACTGGAGTCTATCTACAGTTCGCCTGTTTAGTGGAGTCCTGTTTTTGTACATGAAATTAGATGTTGGTGGAATTTAAAATACATTCTAGATATTTATGTGTGCAGAATTTGGTGCTCACAACTATTTCCTTTTTAATGATTTCCTTAATCTTTACAGGTCTAGGAAAACAGGAGGATCTGTTCCCGTAACAATGGCAGCAAAATCATCACTCCTTAAAGTAATACTGCTAGGCGATGGTGGAGTTGGGAAGAGTTCCCTCATGAACAGATATGTCACCAACAAGTTCGATGCACAGTTGTTTCATACAATAGGTGTGGAATTCTTAAATAAAGAGTTGGAAGTCGATGGACATTTTGTTACAATGCAGATATGGGACACAGCAGGTCAGGAACGGTTTAGGAGCTTGCGGACTCCTTTCTATAGAGGTTCTGACTGTTGCCTGCTAACCTTCAGCGTGGATGACTCTCAAAGCTTCCAAAACTTAAGCAACTGGAAGAAAGAATTCATTTATTATGCAGATGTCAAGGAGCCTGAAAGTTTTCCATTTGTGATACTGGGTAACAAAGTTGATATCGATGAAAGGCAAGTATCTACAGAAGAAGCCCAAGACTGGTGCAGGAATAATGGCAACCATCCCTATTTTGAAACCAGTGCAAAAGATGCCACTAATGTTGCAGCAGCCTTTGAAGAAGCTGTTAGAAGAGTTCTAGCCTCTGAAGATAGATCAGATCACTTTATTCAAACAGATACAGTAAACCTTCATCGGAAACCGAAGCCCAGCTCATCTTGTTGTTGACTTAAATTTATTTTTGCCAAATTACTGTTGACTAGCTTGTTCTGTAAAAGAATGGAGAAGGTGTAGTAGATAGAATAACAATGGGTTTCACTCTAATATTAAAATCGTAATATTCTGCTGCTTTTATGGGGGAGAAAAAGAAAAATCTCCATTCATGAGTGACCCGTTATTGAATTAGTGATGCTTTCTGTTCAGGAAGACATCAAGGAAGAAAATAATATAAGAATGTAATTTGCCAACTTTATTCAAATGATAAATACTTTGAATATAATTAAAACTTGAAAGTTCTAGAAGCACTACTTTGGAGAAGCTGTTCTGGAATTCAGGCACAAAGATACTTTTATATGTGTATATTTTTATGAAATTGGCATTCCACTTTTGTTTCCTTAGATGTCAGTTTCTTAACAATGCTAGATATTAAACTTCAGTCTCACTACATTCCTTTTGCTGTGAGTGGTACTTCATCTCTAATGTGGTTATTATAAGTTAATATAAATTATGTCCAGGTCTTCTACAATTGCCTAATGTTGCTGTAAATTGTGTAGGTTTGTAAGTAGGAAGCAAATTTCCTACGTATTTAATGTCCATTTTTTCCCAAATACTATTCTAATGCTGCACTAATTTTTCCAGTGGTTTAATGCAAAATACTGATAATTTTCAAAATTAATGTGTATCCTCACCTTAAGTCCATGCTAGCATGTTACTGATCAATAAGGTGAGAAATCTGAGTAACTGAAGTATAACCATTTTTTGAAAAAGAAATGCTTTTTTCAGTCAGCTTTAATAGCACTTGAAAGGATCCTCATTGTGACAGTTTTTTAGGAAAACTCCTTGTGTACAGCCTTAGAAGCTCCAAACTTCTTGTTCCTGTTAACCTGAGCTATGATTGTGTTTACCAGTAATATCTCCACTGTGATATTAAGGATTGGCAATACGTAGAGAACTCAGGAAGCTCTTGACTTACAGTAGATTTGACAGCTTTCAGCCCTAATACAGGTATATAAAAATAGTGTTTGAGCTGAATTTGATAATTATTAAAATTGCTATTTTAGGATATGGACTTGTACCTTTAAGAGATAATGTCTTTTATATTACGGAATTAATTTCATAATTATGAACCAGAGCAAATTCTGTATTTGTTGGACAGTTTTTTTGCAGTCAGGCAGACAAAACTGCAGGTGTTTTTGAGGCTTTCAGGTGCAGTTTAAGTGGTAGAATACTTGTATGAGAAATTCTTCAATATTGGCTCTCAAAAGTAACCACTGTCCTTGCAGTAGCAAAATTGCAGTGCACTAGCAATTGCTTCCATCTGTAATTGACTGCTAACAGGCACACATGTATGTGTGGTCTGAGAGAGGAAGTCTGATACTGCAGGACAGGCCATGTTATTCATTAAACAACTGCTTTCTGTAGAGAAACTTTTTTGTTTCAATGGAAAAGCCTTTCTTGAGAGTACATTACCAGCAAGCACTTTATCTTAAAAGTATCTAACCAATCTGTACCTACCAGCTGTAATTATTTGGAAGTAAAGCTTGCAAAACCAAACCCTTCTTGTTCCTCTTAGTACACTTTTCTGAATGTATTTTATACTTGCTTGAACTTGTCCAGGACAACTTTAGTCTGCAGATCTGCTACTCCTGCTTAAAACTACCATCTTTTTATCTTCTGTGCATTCCTGATTCATTCTTGCAGCCCTGCATCTTCACCAACAGAACTGTGTTTTAAACTTAGTCCCTGAGCAGTTAAACATAGGTTGAACTACTACTTATGTTTAATTTCTAGTCAATGAATAAAAATATCTGTGAAGAAAATCTTAGCTAAATTCCTCCTAATCTTAGGATGAGAGAGCAAAAAGCTTTATAAATGAAGATTGCTTGTGTCAGGGGCTACTAAGCTAGTGACATGAAATTTTTGTAAAACTACTACCTTGCTACTTAAAGCTTCCTTTAACATTCATTTTAGCAGAGATTAAGGTTGAAACAAAACAGGAGCTGAAGATACTGTGACTAGAGTACTATAGATACCATTCAAGTAAGATTGTTAAAAAGGAAAAATGAAGGATGAGAACCACTGTGGTCTTTCTTCTGTGTAGGCATCTGTGTTTTCCTATCTGTCCCCTTTCCATTTAACATAACAAGTAGGTTTAATAAAATTAAAACATAATGCCATAGAAGTGTATTACTCATGCCCTGGGAGCTGCTGTACCATAACTGTACACAAATCACAAAAGTGGCCAGTAAAGATAAACATGCTGTAGTAAATAAGACAGTATAGGAATTAGGTTTAGGTCAGGAATTGGTCTCGGAGAGAAACTACGGAGTGCCTACAGAACCAAATATCTTTTGACAAGCAGTTATAGGTGACAGGTATAAAATAACGCTTAATAACAAACATTAACATCCATACTTTGTAAAAGCTAGGTATCATTCCATAGGGATGTAAGGTAGGCATTTGTGGCCTATGTTTCAATTCACTGATTTGTTTCAAAAGCCAAATATTTCAGAGTCCTGTTAGCAGTAGATTGTAGTGCATACTGTGTAACATATATGCAAAGTTCCAGTGTCCTTTAAATGAGAAAAAAAACTTACTGTTGTGGCAGGTTGGTGGGACTGATGAAAGCTGTGCTTGTTAGAGAGCAAAATGGGAAGGGGTGGAAGAAGCTACCTAGGACAGCTGACAGCTCATGTCACAACAAACTGTATCTGCTTACATAAGCTGCTTTAACAGCTGCTCCATACCTCAAATGGATCTTACTTTAACTCACCTGACAGGTTACCTAAACAGTAATAGAACCTGGTAGAAAGTGGAGTCCGAGTTGCATTTCCAGCCCAGATTTATTAAGGTCGATTCATGTTAGCTTGGTGCTAATGTTCTCATCTCCTTATGCTTGATTTTTGAATGACTTAGGGTAATTCTAGTCCCCTTAACTCATTAACTTTTTATTGCCTTTATTGCATAATGCAGATTATCTCTGTTTTCTTGTACTGCAACAGACTTTATTTTGAATTCTTAAGTCTCTGAGAGGGTAGGAACATAATCCTTGCAAAGGAGGTGTCTCTTCACTGAGAAACTGTTCACTGAAGCATACTGGAACTGCAGCCTTCAGGCCTAAAGCAGATTTGTGACTTTAGCTGACCACAAGATGATTTTCACCCTTCACTTCAGCTGATGGTCTTTCAGCTGATGGTCTTTCAGCTGACCGTGAAGAGTTACAAACTAAAGTATAAACAAGTGTTTGTCCATGTACAGAGAACTTGGAGCTACCTTGCCAAGGCCTTCAGAGTTCTGTCACAAGACAATGCTCCTGAACCACAAATTAGGACAAAGGTGATGAGTCAGGACATAATTCTTCCATTTCTGTGGCCAGTAACAGTCTGTTTTCATAAAGCCTAGGTGGACCTGAGTCTGCATTTCCCATCTACAATTCCTAAATGCAGAGGAAAAAGGGAAAGGTGTAGGGGAGGTGTAAGAACAGGCACCACTTGACTAATTGCCTTCAGAAATCAGTCAAGAAAGAAAATGCTTTCATTTTATTTAAAATCCTACTGCAGTAGCAAATGAAGTTATAAAAAATGTAGCTTCTAAAAGTGGTAGAAACTGTTAACACTAATCCTTCCTATTTGCCAAGCCTTTACTTCCTGCTAAGTATATGATTATTTAATTGAAGTATTTCCTCGGTGAATCTTAACCATTAGGATTTTTCTAGCTGCCATGCTACAGGGGAGAAGGTAGAAAACTGCAGCTCAGTGGCTCCTTATCACATGATCAATAATGCTTTACCTCAAGTGTGTTTGTTTTTTCTGTGTATACAGAAAAAAAAAAAAAGTTGATTTATATAAAATTACATGACATTACTAAAGTGTTGTACTGTGCAGTTTGTATGCAAAAATATTGCAAATACAGGCCTCCCCACCAGGTACTGTTACTGTGGTTATCTGGTTTTCTGCTAAATCACTTGCAAGTATATTCAACAGGCATCCATACTACAACATTTCATGTTTTATTTAAGGTAAGTATTGCAACCTCTTTATCATGTCCTTTTTTCTCATGGAACATTTTACAGTGACAACTTAGCAGTAAGTGCAGAAATAATGACTGACTTACAGCACATACACACGTGGTCCCCTTAATTATACAGACTATGCAAAATACTTCTTAGAACAGCATGCCACTTCCTTTGGAAATTACTTTTCAGACAGTGAAAAAAAAAAAGTACAACAGAGCTTATACAGATTTGCTGCATAAAGACACAGAATACTTAAGATTTTAAACCCAGACAAAGCATTAGGTACATATATGCCAAATGATCTGTTTAAAAATTACTGGTTTGGAATGATGTTAAGTTTTGCAAAATGGCTCCTATAAGCTTTTACAATGGACTAGGAGCCAGGCCAAATAATGCCTTTCTGAAACCTCAACAAATACACTTTCATGGTTCAAAGATCCTCCTCTAAATTTATTTACAAAAAGAAAGTTTCAGCAGTTGCAGAAATATTGGGAAAAAACCCATGGGTTTAAACATGTAAATTTAGTTTGGGCTTTTTTTCATGTGTGAATTTGAATTAATGTCAAGGCAAATCTGGCTGTTCTGGTCTACTTCATTCATTGATGCAACACTGCAGCTAAATGTGTATTGCACTAAATGCATAGAAAATTTGAAATTACACACTTATAAACCTTAGGGGTTTTCCTCAGATTTTCTTGAAGTATGAAGACAGCTTTTCTGATCTATCAATTTTTTATTGAGTAATTTATATACATACAATTACATATGAATAAATAGAGGCTTGATTTACTACCACAGAGTGTAATATTAGTCTGGTTAGTCTGCAGAGTGAGTTCTCTACTGAAGGAATACAACTAGTTAAGTTTGTCATAAAATTAAGCACTTAGGCCAAACAGTCAAGAATTCCCTTTTGCTCATACTAAAGAAGATGATTGGTAACATCTTTTGCATTTAGATCCAATTTCCTCCCAACCTATGTCAGAGGCTTACACTTTGCACATGCATTAATACATAATGTCCCAGTTTCTTCATTTGTACCTTTGCAGCTTCTGATAGTTTAAAACTTCATTTACATATAATATAAAAGGAAGCTTCTTGAGATATACCTTTTTAACCAGAGAAGCTTGGCTGTTCTTATCTATATCAGCAAAAGAAAAAGCTGCTTCAGCATCCAATTAGTCAGTCTTCAGAAGATGAATATAAAACATGTAGGGGACTAACCAGATGACATACAGTTCAAACAATCAGGAAAGCAGGGAAAAAGCACTCACTCAGGAGATTTATTTATTCAGCTTAAAAGGTGTTTCTTCCCAAGGAACTGGACTTTCCTTTCAAAGGCAGTGGATCGAATAGGAGTATTGAGTTCATAAAATGGATTCATTGCAAACTGGGGAAAGAACAAATATGTATCAATAAGCACAAGGCCCAGCCCTGGCAAATGTCACTTCGAATGACATCTACTACTAGCTTTCAGCCTATTTAGTGCCACTAAGAGCACAGACCCCCTGAACAGTCCTTGCTTTCCAGGCCATTGCATTCTCTCCATACATGTGCAGAGCCATCCCATAGCACCAGCTCCCCAGAACAAACCCATCACACTGGTGGAAATTAGAATCATTTGAGTGCCGGTCGGAGGCTGAGAATGGTGATTGTTTGCCATGGCCCTGTTTAGTGGAAATACCACCAGGATTTGAGAACAAGGCCTATGTGTTCCAAGAGCGAAGCTACCTGGCTCTGTAGAACAGTCCTTTCATTATCATCATTAATGGTACCACTCTACCACAAAATGCATCACAAGAAGTTGGTCACAAGTTTTCTGTTGCCCAGAGAAGCTGTTGATGCCTCACCTCTAGAGTTGTTCAAGGCCAGATTGGGTGGGGCTTTGACCAATCTGGTCTAGTGGAAGGTGTCCCTGCCTATGGCAGGGAAATTGTAACTAGATGGTTTTTAAGGTCCTTTCCTACCCAAACCATTCTAATCTAGTCTACAAAAAACTCACTGGACTAAAGTGAAGAAGTCTAAAAGAGCACAGTTTATAACAATTTCAAAAAGTCTATTCTGTTTAATGGAAAATACAGCCTTTGTGTCACACATTACCAGCTCTGGCTGATGTGGACGGCACAGGTGCTTATACAGGCACCCAAGAGAAAAAATGCTACTACAGCTGTGCCTGAGCACAAACAGCAGAACATGCTTAAAACTAGTGCAGAAAGACCATTAAAAATGATTTCTTACCTTTATATACAACTCATACACATCAGTAAAGAAGTTCTTAATTCCATCTTCTTGCCTTACATCATGAAGCATTATAAATCTCATATGTACAGTAATTAAGGAGAATAAAATTTTTACAAAGAAGAGACATTATCCTGAGATAAGCATTTACACCTAATTCAACATATAACTAAAATGTTTAGCTGTACACGAAACAGCAGTGACTCATAGGAGGAAGCATTTAAAAAAGTAATTGAGGCAATGAAATTTGGAAAGCATTACATTTATATTTTAACATCCCCCTGTTTGAAAATAATCACCTCTGTATCAAAGGTTTCTTTTTTAAAACAATATAATTCTGAATGTGGATTATGCCCCCTGCACTTCAACCATGTACCCCTAAAGTTAAAACGTCATTCAATGTTACTTGCTATGTGTAACAAATGTTTCTCAACAAACAGTTCTAGGACTACCTGTACATAGTATCAAGCCTCACTGCACTTTCACCATTGGAGTGACTGACACCAGGCATGTTCACTGCAACTTCTCTCCAACAAGGTCAAACGGGTGGGAACAGAGAATCATAAAAGCTTTCTCAGAGCCTCCCATAGCTCTTTACTTCATGTACCACATCTCATTATGCTATTTTGGCTCCTACAAAGGTAAAAATCCATCTTTCCAACTGTTCCCAACTGCTGTGCCTCCCAATATAGTTTCTCCTGAAGGTGATGACTCTAACAATAATAGCAAATAGCCAGAGAAATCTGTTCCAAACTCACTTTATCTAACTTACCTCTTTCTGGGAAAAGGCTTTTCTTATATAAGGAAAGAGAATTAGAAAGGATATGTCCAGCTGTGACAAAAGCAGAAACAAACCATTCATTAAACTTGTCCACAGTCTTCAAATACATGTTGTTAGAAAGCCACATGTTCTCATCCACGAGGTCAAGAGCAGCATGGGCAATGAACTGGTTGAGATGGCGATGATCATCCTAACACATTTCCAGAGAACAGCAGATTAGTAATTCAGTGAAAGGAATAAAATATAAACAATCATTTGCTTCAGTTACATAATGTTACATATACCCCGCTTTTCTGTCACATGTGCCATCCTGTAATTAAATGAAACCAGCATTTGTTTGCATGATATTTGGTTTCAAGGGAGAAAAGAGATCATAATAAAAAGATCATCACAAAACCAACCCTGAGAGCAACTAAATCAGTAAAGCCTGTATTACACCTCAGGAATGAATTCAAGCATAAATTCTTTTGTTTACTGATGGGCAGATTCCCACTGCTAACTTATTCCACAATAGAGGCCCTCATATGTGTTTTTCTGTTCTTTCCAGCCATCTGTTTTTGTGATATTTACATAGCATACATAAAATGTAGCATTTTCTGGACTGTAACATTCCAGTCAAATTTGGCAGAAATTGACCCGTAGGTTACAAGGTGTAAAAGCTGGGGAACAGATGCGGAAAGCAGAAGTACAGACGGCAGGTATGCTGATAAAATCACCTAAAGATTCTGCTATTCTCATGTTGTTTACCTAGAAACAGATTTTTTTGGGGTCTTCTTTCTCCTAAAACCTAGTGCAGAAAAGCATTCTGCAACTAGTATTAAATATATGCCTGTAGATGTAAACTGCATTTCCTCCTATAACAAACACAAGATCACAGTGTTTGGCCTGTGTACTTTGTAGGCAACCAGAGAACATCTGCCAAGAAGAGATACAGGACAAAACCACACTGGAAGCTTTCATTAGACTGGAAGAAAAAGCAGTTTTGTACTGTTTCTCATAGTAATGGGTTGCTGTTACTGCCACTCTCACCTCTCAGGTTTTCCCTGCAATAAACTCTTACAGATCCTCAAACAAAGTCTAGCCTGAGTAGCCTAATTTATGATCATTTATGAGCCATTAGTTCAAAATACAGATGATGCCATGCAGTTCCAATCAGCGACAGCATATACTTCCATTTTTGGATACACTCGCAGATACATGCCCTTTTATTCTGAAGCCTATTTTTTCCTTTCATGTAATGCCACTTACAGATGATTCGTTCTTTTCCCACTAGAAACAATAATTATTGAGTAGTATTGCATTTATCACATTTTCAAAGTCTTTATTTATCAACATAAATTTGTAGCTTTCCTTACTTAAAAGCAAGTATGACTAATGAAGGTGATTAAAAAATTAGGTATTTTATAGCATAAAGGACTGAATAGAGCTTTCAATTTTATGCTTCTTACTTTACCTTATTACTGTATATAATTGTCTTAAAAGTGGAATCATACAATGAACAGCTATGATAAAACCTCTGTACACTAAGAGAAATTATGAAAGCAAAACTAAGATATATATTCTATAAAATACAGCAGGGAATATATAAGAAAGGTATGTTTTCTGAAGAACTAGTATAATCTGGCAAAGATTTTTTAAGAGATTTGGGAAATCCAGAGTTCTACTCCCTATGATAAAACTTCTGTTCCATAAACCCCAGAAAACAGTAGATACTTCTTTTAACAACAATGCTGGTCATGCTTCTAATACACTGTAAAATTATAAAAGAATCACAGGAGTGTCACAGGGGGCAAAAAAACACACCTTTGACTCTACTTTTCCAGGAGGCAGAAATTCCATTTCAAATATGGGATTATCATGATGACCAACTATCACGAAGTAGAAACTTCCAGACATTCTTCAAAACAATGCTCCCTACAAGAAAACAGAAAAATCCTGATGAGTCTATAAAGACACTCTTAATCCATGTAGAAGAGTTCCTAAAAATCAGCCAACATGCTGATTTGCCCATTCATATTTACCAGAGGCTGGAGAGAGATAAACATTTAGATATGCACATCAAAAAGATGGTTTTGAGCTCTTCTTGGTGCAGCCACCCACCAGGATGAGAAACAACGGGCAGAAACTGATGCCCGGGATGTCCCACCTGAACACGAGGAAGAACTTATTTGCTGTGCATGTGACTGAGCACTGGAACAGCCTGCCCAGAGAGGCTGGAGTTATTCCAGAACCGTCTGAACACAATCCTGTGTCCTGTGCTCCCTGCTTGAACAGGCTGGCCCAGATGCCTGTGTTCCCTCCCAGCCTTGACAGATCCTGGGAAAGCCGGAGAGTATCCTTGGAAAGCGGACCTGGAAGTGAACCTAAGCACCTAAAACCAACTCCTGCCCCGCTCAGCGATGATTTATCCCCCGGGAGCCCCAGTCACCCGGCGATCCCGGGCCACAGGGCGCAGCAGAGGAGGAACCTCCTCGCCCGTCTCTCCCGGGCCCTGCTCACAGGCAGCAGAAGGGGAAGGGCGGCAGGCGGCGGGCGCCTCCTCCTTGGCACACGGCGGCCGTGGGACTGCCCCACGGCTCCATCCCCGGCCACTCCAGAGCTGCCCAGAAAGGCCGACCCGTCCCACCGCCCCCGGCCTCCCGGGAGAAGGGGCTCCGCGGGGCAGGGGGAGAGGGAGGCGGGGAGGGAGAAGGGTCCCGCAGGGTCCCGCAGGGTCCCGCAGGGTCCCGCCGGTCCCGCCGCCTACCCTGCGCCGCGCCGCGCCCCGGCCCGTCCGCCGCCCGCCCGCGGCCGCCGGAAGCGCCGCGCTGCGCCCGCCCCATCCGGCGCCGCCGTGAGGGCTCCGCGGCCGCGGCGGCCCTGCCCGCTCCCGGCCCTGCCCGCTCCCGGCCCGGCCCCGCTCCGGCCCCGCTCCCGGCCGTGCCCGCTCCCGGCCCTGCCCGCTCCCGGCCCGGCCCCGCTCCGGGCCCGGCCCCGCTGCCGGCCGTGCCCCGCTCCCGGCCGTGCCCGCTCCCGGCCCGGCCCCGCTCCCGGCCCGGCCCCGCTCCCGGCCCCGCTCCGGGCCCGGCGCTCTCCCGTGGGTAGCGGGAGGCTGCCCCGGGAAGCCCGAGGCGGCGAGAGCTCTCGGCGTCTCGCTGGCTGCGGGTCGAGCTGCGAGTCAGTAACGCCCCGCTTTGTTCCGGTGTTGTAGGTCAGGATGGCATCGGTTGAGAGGGAAACACTGTCCCAGGAGGAGCTGCGGAAAAGGCTGTATCAGACCTTTAAGAGCCGAGGCGTACTGGACACACTTAAGGTGTGCTTTGTTCTCAGCAGGTGCTGCCTATGACCCTCTATGCTGCTTTAACATAGAGAGCCCGAAAAGCCATGCCGAGTGCAAGCGTCTCACTCTCTCCACGAAGTTATTATTTTTGCCACAACTTAGCTGTTGTCTTAGCGGGGGGGGGGGGGGGGGGGGGGTCGTGTTGTGTTGTGTTTGGGGATTTTTCCCCCCATTTACGAGGTTCTGTCTAAACAGAATGGCTATTCATTATGCCTTGGCCTCGGTCTTTTTCAGGAAGGTTACAAGCCTGCTTTAGGTCTTTGAAAATACACATGCTTGAAAAAAGACGTCAAGCAGGGGAGAGAACCACAAATTAGAATATAAAATAGGAAAGTATCTCTCAGGTTACAGGGTGCGTTTATTACCTATAATATGTTCATATAACATAACATGTTTATGTTATATAAATAATACTTCTAAAATACTACAACCCTGTTTTAAAACTATTTGAGCTATTTTGTCCCAGTCTTCTCATTCAGGAGAACGTATAGGAAAAAAGATCAATATTTCAAAAATATAATTGATAATTCTATAGGTTAGAATTTCCTGTTTAGGACAATTTGTTTTTGGATTACTGATTTCCATACCAAGCTTGCAATGCTAGAACCATATCTCATTTGACTTCACTAATATTCTAGCAGATTACTTCCTGTTTAAGTCCATTTTTCTGCTTTGTTTAACTTGTCTAGACAGTTATTTCTGCCTTCCTTTTTTGTACTAGGGATAGGGATTCAGCCCTGTGCTTTCCACCTTTACTTTGCCACAAGATGTATAAGAGGTCACTGTTCTTGGTTGTTTTTGAGGCAACATCACATGTGTTAAAGTTGGTTAAAACTGGACAAGTTCAGAAATTAATAGGGAAAATGGGCTTTTTCTGTTGTGTTTGAGAGTTGAACTCAATGATCCTTTCCAACTCAAAATATTCTGTAGTTCTGTAATTTTGTTGTCAGCCTAATTTCTCTTGAAAACCATGCTAAAATATCAGGCTAGTCTGATGATCTGGCTTTGTTAAGCTTTGGCAATTATTTTGTCACATTTTTGGTAGCACACCATCTTTTTATTCAGTTGTGTCACTGTTGCATACCTGCTGTTGAAAGCTTAAAACACTGCTTGTGCCATGATTTTTCCTATAAACAATTCATATTAACAATTTGAATAACTGTATAATGAAAAGAATTCTGTCTTCCTTTTATAGAAGGGAGGTCTGATTTTAGGTTACTTCCCCCCCCCATTGTAACTCACAGAATGCAAATAAATAATTTTAAAATGTCATTTAATTATTATTGGTGCCTGTAGGTCTCTTTGGTTAGTACTCTTTTGCTTCCCTACAAAATAATTGATATTTAAGACATTAAATTTTTTGTTTATTTTGCCGCTTACTTTTGTGATGGCATGAGCAGCTTTTTGATATGCGACTCAAAAGAGGACCAGTGAGGGTTCCAAGAACACCTGAGACCTACATCAGGAGGGCTTTATTTAAGCCAAAGGGAGGGTAAACAGGAAAGCAGTGATGTGAAAATGATGGTACAAGAGTGGTGTTTATGTGAGCTCTTGACTGGGAACTTCTTTTTAGTCCTTGGTACATTTGATACATTTTGAGGGAAAGTCAGAGGTCATTGTATCTACCATTAGAGGGTTTTGAAGAAGGGCAGGATGTTCATAGTGCCCTTCCAGATTTTGCCAGAATTAGTCTGTCCTGTTCTGTTTGTAGGTTGTACAAGTAAAATGAGGCTCCCTGTGGATTCTGAAAACTTAAAACTCTCATTGAATCACATGTAAACTGATAATACAATGAGGTTTTCTTTATTTGTGTCAGACACAGCTCCGAAACCAGCTAATCCATGAGCTAATGCACCCAATTTTGAGTGGAGAGCTTCAGCCACAGATGGTTCCAAGTGAAGACAGTTCACTTTTGATAACTGCTTCTAACAGTTTGGTGGCAGATCATCTAGAGAGATGTGGCTACGAGTATTCACTTTCTGTGTTCTTTCCAGAAAGTGGATTAGAAAAGAAGAAGGTAAGTTCAATATTTTGCCTATTCCACGATGTCTAGGAGCTTTGGTCTCCGGAGGTTGTCATATTCTAACAATTGAAAAGATCATTTTTTGTGATAGGAAATACAAACATAAGTACAGCTTCTGATCATCTCCACAAAACATTCTGTCATTCAGGGTCATTTTCATGAATACCTGAAACTGGCAATAAGCTAGTGATGCTGTTCTGGAGAGGTGCAGCCACAGTCTGTCTGTGTGGCAGAGCACTTGGGAACTGAACCTGATAAAAGTTTGTTTGGCCATTAAATTCCCTGAAAATGTGGTTCCTGGTCAGTTCAAGCTGTTCTCTAACTACAAAGTGTGGCTGAAAAGGGTGGTCCTTGCCTTCCCTTTGCTTCTCTGTAAGTGTGATAGGGTGAAGTTGTTTCTAACTTAAAATTAATTTTTTGACCTGGTCAGTAGTTAATAATCATTTGGATTAGTGAGCTCATCTGATTTGGATGGTAAATCAAGAAAACAGAGAAGGAAAGTAGCAAGCACATATTGATGGTAGGCAAAGAACAAAACTCTCTTCACAGCTTCAGCTAATGATGAAGCTACATGCTGGCTGCTGTATGTCTGAAGTAGTGAAGATAAATAAATGTAGAACAGCAGGCCTCTGAAACTTATTTTACAGGGAATAAATAGATCTTTCGCAAATGGAAAACATTTATAACTGTGAAATACTTCCATTTGCATATTTGAAATGATTTTGAATTTGTTAAGGTTTTCTAATGGATCTTTCTCCCCACAGCTGTGGACTGTGCAAGATCTTCTTCAATTAATGAGGATAAATCCAGAATCCAGTCTTTACAAATCATTGGTAAAGTTATTTTGATTTTGAAAATAAGCTTGAATTACAGTGGTGATGAAAATAGACTGGCTAAAACTTCTTTTCTTTCTTACAGACTTCAGGAACTCAGAAGGCAAATAAAGGTACAAAATTTTTGCATGCAATGCAGACAGAGATTTTTATGTTAGCTTCATTTTTATTAAGATGTGAGCAACAAAAAAAGCAGATTTCTTAAATGTGTGTGGGTATGGAGTAATTAGGATATATTTGGATTTTGAAACTTGCAGTACATCAGGATGATTAATGTTATATTCAGGATTATCCAGCTCATATTTGTGGATTAACTGTTGACATTTACTTATAAAATAAATGACTTGTACATTAGAAATATGAGAAAAATCTGTAATCAGGTATTACATATAATGCTTTTTGGAGGCTTTTCATACTAACTTTGGAAAACTCAAGTTTTGGGTTGTCTTTATAACACTGAATTAGCTTGCAAAATATAGTTCAAAAACTAGTTACAGATTTAATTGATTTTCCATTGTATTATATAAGAACTAATTCTTATATCTGCAAAACAAAACCTAGCTATACTGTATAACATAAAGGAGCCTGATCTTCAAAACCCCCTGTTGCTTAAAGGCCTCATAATTAAGTACTAATAATCTATGCTCTCAACTGACCTTGGGAGTCAAGAGACATGGATGAGAGGAAAAGTTGCAAAAGGACAGGTTTTGCTGACTGAGATGGACTGGATTATGCTTATAATAAAACCATAATTGTTCACTAGTATTGATTTTTAGTGAAATACTTATTCTTTTCTTGTACATTGAAAGTTGCTTTGTCAATTACAGGCTAAAATTCCATTGAGGTATGAAATCAGAACTAATTAATCTATTGGGGCTTGCTAGGTTTCCTTATGCAAATTTTAATTGGACTTACCGAACATCATCTAAACAGGGAAACTCACAACACAGAAACTCAGACCACCTCAGTGCCTCCTTATAGAGAGTCTCTTGGTAAGTGCAGCCTGTGCAAGCAAGTCTTCCCAGATATTTTCATACTGGTATATGGTATGGCTTTATATATATTGCATGAATGGTGTTATTTTGTTACTTACTCAAATGCAACCTAAAGGTGCAATGAGTAAAGGTCATGTCTGTCACTAGAACATGGAATTTCTAAATCTTCTTATAATAAGACACAATCAGGATAGGATTTATTTTTAAATCACTTGTGTATTTCCTTAGGCATTTAGCTAAGACCTATGACAAATGGAATTTAAATGTTATGTGTTGGAATGTGTTCTGGAGAACAGAATTGTAAATGCGTTCCCTCTTTCTGTGAGCAAGTTAGGCATAGACTGGGACTTCTTGAATGTATAATATGCATGCTATTTTTAATGTATTAATAAAAAAAATCTAAAGGTTGTACAATTAATAGATTAATAAAAAAAAGCTACAAGTTGCATACAAAAAGACATTCTTGTCCACCTGTGGTAAAGAGGAGGAATGACTATGTAATACTACAAATAGTGCCTAAACAGCCAAGTGCCACCTCCTATGTTTATGTTGTGTTTATATATATATATATATGCATATGCCTGTAAATGGCATTTCTGTGCTGCCTCTACTTTTGTGCCACACACATCTTTCTAGGATAGTGCTGCTTGAATAAGCTGAGGAATCTCCTGCAGAGTGAGGTTCCTGCAGTCTTTGGTAAGGTAACTGCAGTGAATGTTTTTAAATTATGATGGATGTGTTGCTTTTTTATAGCTGAGAAGCTTCAGCTGATTGATGAACAGTTTGCGGACTCCTATCCTCTGCATCAGAAATATGAATCTTTAGAAGTAAAACTTAATGAATATAGAAAAGAAATAGAGAAGCAGCTTCACGAAGAAATGCATCAAAAGGTATAACTGGTTTATGAATTTGAGGGAGACATTAATTTTGACTTTACACATTGTAAACTTTTCATACTTAAGGCAAAATGAAAAAAATCTAGTAGTTACAACAAGCAGAGAAGGCTAAATTAATCCACTATCTGTTGTTAATTTGATGATATAGCATGTATATTTGTCATCCCCCATTTTTGTTAATGTGCACAGAATGTTAAGCTTTTTATTGTGATGTTGATTTGTAACATTTGCTTACTCTGGTTGTCTTAATTTCGTAAATTTTATCTGCTATTTGATTATTTTGTTTTATGGAGAAATGTTTATACCACAATTTTAATTTTCCTTCCCAGTTAAGATTTTGATGCTTGAATTTCAGTATGGTGCATAGCAACTGAGAGGTGTGAATTATTGTTATGTAGCTTGACAGATAATTAATTTTTAATACTGATGAGAATTTGCATTCTATTTCAAAACATTGCACAGAAACACTAAAGTCATAAGACAGTATTATGAATAATTTCTAACCTTTTTTCTTCCTGTAATTGAAGACAGCTCTTCTAGAGAATTTTCCTTCATTTTGGAAATAAGATTAAAATTTTGTCACATAATCCTTTGATAATCCTTCTGTCTAAAAAATGGAGCAGAGGGAATTTTCTGCATTTTATTTAAATACATATTTTTTCTTTTCCATAAATTTTGGTCAAGATCATCAGTTTATTTAGGTAGAAAAAAGTAAGTCAGCTGTATTTCATTTCAATATATTTTTCATTAATTTCTGTCAAGATCAACCATTCCTTGGGATATAAAAATAATAATCTAATAATCAGAATTCTTCCACACACTTTTAAAGGCACTCAGTGTAGTCATCTTGTACTTAGCCAGACAAGTAGAAAGATGGAGAGTTAAACCTCTCTTTTACCTTCATTCTGTCTTTATTCCCCAACTGGCTCTTTTTTAATGTGTAAAGCATGTCAATTTGTGTGTTATTAAGTTTTTACCAGTTTAAGCAAACCAGTTGTAAAACAGGAGATGGGAAGCTCATCTAAATTCACTTAGCTTTACATTAATATCTTAGCAACATTATGTAAATTATTGTAAGACATTTCTAATCAAATTTGTATATATACAAGTGATGCCGTATTGTCTCACTATTTCTTTTCCACAAAATTTGTGCCCACAGACCTGAGTTGCTTGATCAGACATTCCTACTGTGCCTTTTCCACTCTTCAATCTTTTCTCACAATTTTTCTGTCATTCTCTTTTGATTCTTTTGTTCAGTTTTTCCTCACATTTTTTATCTTGTGTGCTTGCTTTCAATTTTCTTCCAAATTTTTATTGTAATTCTTCACAATCCCATTTGTTTTCATATATATTGTCCTTCACACACTTTATGGAGTCATGTTCCCAAATGATTCTTCTGTGCAGTTGCAAGATTTGTACTTTCCTGTTTATGTGCATTTCCTTTTTTATGGTTGTGCTTAGAAGTTAGTGAATTGGGACTTCTCTGTAAACCTCTTCAGATGAAGTTACGTGTTTTGCATTTTTTTACATTTCTGGCATTTCTTCTGTGTTCAGGTGAATTACTGTGGTTTCTAAGCAATTCAGGGTGTGGGTCTGTTTCTGACATTTCTTGAATCACTAGTCAAAACTGGTTGTTTGGGAAAGGGACAAAAATAAAGACTGTTGGAAGAGGAGTAAAAGACTGTGGCCATTCCTTAACTCCAAGGAGAGTATGACTCCTGCAGTGCATTTTTCTTCATAGGCTTCTGTTCTGCTCTTGTCTAAAGCTGACAGTTTTGTGTAAGATCTGCTTTGGGCTACCAGATAAACACATGAAAACTTTGTGAGATGTGCAGATAGTATGTGTTGGTAAGATACTTCTATCACAGTAATTATTTGTTATCAATTTATCATTTCCTAGCATGGATTTCAAAGTGAAATTTTGAATTGTCTTAGGAGGAATTGTCTTTTTTGATTTGAAGATGGCCCTATTTATCTCTGTTCCTCCTTTATGTAAAAGCTTGAACATTTTAAAGAAGTTGAAATAGCAAAGATTAAAATGGAGGAGAAAGCACAGACCCAAAAAGAAATCTCTGAGCTGCGCCATGAGTTAGAGAAGACACATCAAGCAAAGTCGGAAGCCTTGATCTCTCGTGAGAAGAATGCTATTGAGAGGCTTCAAAGGCAACAAGAGGTAAAGTTCCAAATATTTTTTTCTTAATCTATTGCAAAATGATTCAGTGAGTTGGTTAGACTGTTCTTTTATCTTTGGGAGATGTACCTTCAGATCTTGGCTGGTTAGGGAAGACTTAGAATTCACATTTCTTCTTATAAATAGGGGAATGCACTTAGCAACTGCAAGAATGAATATAGTTAAACATCTAAGTAGACATGACTAGAAAAGGAACAGTTCTGCAAGCTGGGATGGAAATGTAATAAATACTTTTAAATCTGTTTTAATAATTTTGCTGAATTCAGATCACTGGGGTTTTTTTCACAGAAAGTTGAACATAGCTTTTAGTTACATTCTTAAGTTCTTTTAGCTGCTCAGAAGACTCTAACCTAAATTGAATAAATAGCTCATATGGTACAGATATGCTGTTTCTGTTTGTTTTTATATATTGAATGTTATGAATAACCACCATCTTTCCTGTAAGCTAGCATCTCATTTCATTTTTTTGAACACTTTTGTGTTGATGAGTTACTCCTCTAGGCTTTTTTTTGCCCGGGTAATAACTGTTACTACAGTACACAATAATTCCTGTGCAGTTCTCAGCTGCTTATCCCGATCTCAAGCTGTTACTTCTCAGCTTCTGAAAGAGTAGTTTGTTTGCTCTTCCCTTGCCTGGTTACCTTGCCACCTCCCTGCTATCTGCAGTAGACCTTCATATCCAAATAATAGGCATTCACAAATGCTAACTGTATTTTTGCTTTGGTGTGGTGGCATTATGGTTTGTTTGGTTTGGTTTTTTTCCCTGAGAACATGTGGTATTGGTTAACAAAGCAGTTGTGTAGGTCTCTATATAACTATAATATTAAACATTTTATCACCATGCCATGAATTTATTTCATGGTTATGTACTTTGAAGCTGACAAGAAAACATCTATGTTATGCTATCAGTCTTCTTCTGTGGGCATGAAATAAATTCAGTAATTTACCCTACCAATTCAGTAATTCACCCTACCAATGACTAGATCAACAATCAAGTATTGTGTATAAATATTAGATTTCTGTTGTCAGCTTCTGCACTCACTGAGAACTTTGTTTCATTTACCTGGGGATTCTTTAAACAGAGTTCAGGTATATTTACATGAAAGATGTCTGGTCACTTAACCCTTCGCTATGATGGCTTTATGTCTAGGAAATGTAGCTTGAGAAACTGGTCTATTTTGTGTACCAGGAACAGCAGCTAAATCTGTCAGCACTGTCAAATGCATGTGGCTTTCAAAGTTAATACAGGGGTCCATATGGCAAAACCATAATTTTCTTCTTAGAGTTTGTTTTTTTGTTTTTTGAGGGTTTTTTTGGGGGTTTTTTTTGAGAGAGAAATAATGCCTTTTGTGCTTAAGGGCAAAAAAAAGCCATTTTTATTAAGAGGAAGATATGTGGATTTTGGTGTTAATATGTTCAGCACTTGGACAGTCCCGGTTACACTTTTTTATGAGTTCTGTAAATTAAACTGCAAAATCTGAAAGGCTGTTGCTTTACTCACTTTTAGTTTTAAGTCATGTTTTATCAGTGGGTTTTGGTATTTGTTTTTTCAACTACATTTTTGTGAAGAACATACAAAACTTGTTTATTTTAAAAAAGTCAAGTGTTTGAGCATGTTTATTCTGCAATTTAAAAAAAAAAATTTCCTTCGACTTCAGTTTTAATCAGTGCAATTTTTCAAAGGAAGGATGTTTATGGGTAGGCGGAAGTGACTCCATCTAAAACATTTTTACTCTGACTGAAAGTAGAAAGGGAATTAAAAAAACATACTCAAAATTGATTCCAGATGTTATTTCATATAATGACTACATAAATAGTATTTATGGGAGAAGATCCTTCAAAGTTTGAGTGTGTTAAACAGTAAATGGAATTTTACAGTGAAGTAAAACTAAGGATAATGTTTTGTGATTCAGATAGAAGCAAAGGAAGTGTATGCTCAGAGACAAAGTCTGTTGAAAGATATTGAAGCCGTAAGGACCAGAGAGGCAGAACTGAAGCAAAGGATGGAGGCATTTGAAATGTAAGTTGCTGAAGGATAAGTACAATGCTAAATGATGCTTCTGCAAAACTTGCCTTAAGATGTTTCTGCTTCTGTGATGTTGAAATAGATAATATATCCCAGAATTTTACATTTTGAACAGTATTGTATACTGTCTCTATTAGCAGGGATACCCCATACAAAAAGAGGATTCTGGTTTTTTTGTATTCCACCTCATCCAACCAAAACAGTTCAACATTGCTTTGCAGGCAAGGAAACAGATGTTTATTATTTTTAATTTAAGCATGTTTAAATTAAATTTAAGTGCTTAAATTAAAAGTGCTTAAATTAAAAAAACCCAACCTCCAGACAGCACAGTATGTAACCCTAACACAGATGAGATATGCGCATTAATATTTTGCCTACTAGCCCTATATTTTGGGGTTGAATTTTTTTTTATTATTATTTGTCCTTAATAAGATCCATTTTCTTTAGTTAAATAAAAAAAGTAAGTAATCCATCTTTGGCTAAACTTTCAATACTACTTAATGTTGTTACATTGCCATCTGTTTTTTGTAGTGAAATGAGTATCCTGCTAACAAAAACTTCAGGATTTTTATCAACCCAGTAGAGGGTGCTGATAGAATAGCATGCTCAGCTATTCTAGCTATTCAGCTCTTTCTTCTGAAGTGTGTTTAGTGTGGGAAACAGAGCCAGGGTTAACCTGGGATAGCTGCATAATTGATTGGTACTGAATTTTAAATAGAGCAATTTAGTTTGTGTCACATCACCATGTTCTTAATGAACTACAATGACAGAGTCTGATTATGATTTCAAATTGCAACAGTATTCAAAACAAGCACCTTGCCCTTTGATGTCTATAAATGTTACTGTGAAAAAGAAACAGAATCCCAGTCTGAAACTTTGACTTTATAACTGGTCATTGTCTTGTATTTCTGGATGTTTCAGCACCCAGAAAGTTCAGGAGGAGAAAAATAAAGCTATAGAAGATGCACTTCGACGTCGTGAGGTTGCTGTGAAGAACATAGAGGAGACATATGACCAAAAGCTGAAGACAGAACTCTTAAAGTAATTTTTTTTCTCTTTTTGGACACATAATATTTCCTATGAAAACAGAATAATAAATTCTATAGGATTTATTTTGAAAAGCGTAGCAAAGCAAAGACTTGAAAATGTGCGTTTACATTTTTTGTTTTAGTGAGGTTGAAACTTTTGCATTACTGCTAGCTATTTGCTAGTACTATATAAAATAATTCTATTATTGTAGAAAATAATTTTATTTTGATTATAGGTTATATTATTGTTGTAGTTTAAATTCTGTGTCAGTATCTGGAAAAGACATCTGACATTAGCTTGTATATTTAGACAAGAGGATCTGAAGCAGTATTAATTACTTCCTTTGACCACAGTTAAAAGAACTGAGCATTTTATGAATGCAGAATAGGCATGAAGGGGAAATCAGCATTAAAGAGATGTTCCCTTGGAAAAGGAGTGAGAGACATACTAGTCCATTATACAGATGAACTGGCTCTTACTTTCACCCCTTCCCAGTTTTGAAGAGAGATTCTGTGATATGGATCTCCCTCTTATTGGTTACCTTCTGTTTGAAACTGGTTTTAAGGAATTGGCAGTCCTCTGTGATTTCTTTTGGAGTGTTGCTGTGGGTATATCCTAACTTTGCTATTGTACTTCCTTGTAGTACCTTGGTCACTCAAAGGGCTCCTCGATACTTCAGTGCAGACAAGAGCTCTTGGCATGTCATGAACCTGTCTCAGTTAGGCAGCTGAAGCAAGTGACTGATAAATCATTACTTTTTATTGCAAGCCAGTGAGCAGTATTATCTGTGGTTTTAGGTCTTTAAATTAAAGAGCAAAAATGTTGATAGTAGGTTCTGGTAAAAATAATCCCTCAGCATTTGATGATTTTGTTAGAGAACAGTGAAATGCAATTAATTGACTCACAGCTAGCTACAAATAATGGTTGCAACATCCTTTCAGTACAGGAGGAGAAGCAAAGTATTTTAAGGATAAACTGCTGCTTTGCTTATTTTATCAACATACAAAATATTTTAAGGCATGTTGCAGGTGCTCAGGAAGACAAAATTCATGTCCTTTTGTCCCAAATCATTAATGAAAAGTATTAAAGAACTACTGTTTCTTATGCAAAAGTAGTGATGCTTGCTAGCAAATCAGTCATTTTATTTTTGCAATAAACATTAAATGCCATTTTTGGGAGAAGGATCTGAGTGGTCTGGACCATTTGCAGAAGTATAGGAGCATGGAATTTGGCTATATCTGAAACCATGTATAATTACGTCCCAGTCATGTAGAATGCTGAGCTTTCTTAGCTCCTGTAAATTCCAGTTCAGTGGAATGGCACTGTTGGATAACTACTGGGCTATGAATATGTGCTGGACAGTGCTCAGTGTCTGGCTGGTGACTGGTGGTGTGCAGAGAATCTCTGTGACCAGTTCTGGGGCTGTTATTGTCCAACACATTCATCTGGATATGGGCACAGGGCATCCTCAGCTTTGAACATGAGGCTTAATTAAGAGGAATAATTTCCACAGTGAATGACAGAGTTTCAGTTCAGGCAGATTTTGACAAGGTTGGGAATTGTGCCAGTGCAAATCTTAGGAATTTTAACAAGGAAAATGGCAAAGCTCAGTTTGGGGCAGAAAACCCCTATCAGGTTGTATAAATGAGAAAAAGGAGTTGACTGAGAGGCTGCCTTTCTGAAGAGGAGGTGGATGAGTTACAGTGAATGCCAGGTTGATTATAAGCCAGCAGCATGCTCTGACAAATAAGGCAAAACAGTATGATGGGTAAGATTAGAAGCAGCATGGCCAGCAGACTGAGGGAACTTACTGTCCCTTGGAAGGTACTGGGGAAAGCTATGCTGGGAATGCCATGCTCAGGTTTGGGCTCCCCAGTTCAAAGAAGTCATGAAGAAACTGGAAAGGGCTTGGTCAAGTCTGCCAGGATAGTCCATTTGAGTTGGACTCTCAAATGTGACCTTTGAGTTCATATGGAAGGGGCTGGAAATTGTGGCTTGGGAGATTTAGCTCGGACATAAGGAGCAAATCTACTGTGAGAGTAGTGCAGCATTGGTACAGGTCATCCAGGGAGATGATGAATATATGTCCCTTGAGGTTTTCAAGACTTGGCTAGGAAGAGCCACATCTGCCCTGCTGTACAGGTGGCAATAGTCTGGCTTTTTGAGGAGGTGGTTGAATGAGATGATTCACAGAGCCCTTTCCAATCATTTTGATGGCTCTATGATAGTTAACTTTGTTAATAAATGATTGTGGGATTATAGTTTAGTTTGGCAAAGAATGGAATTAGCACAAATGTCTGTGCATGTATGCACACACATCCTTTGGGAGTACATAATCCTTTTTGTTTCTAGATATCAGCTCGAATTAAAAGAAGAATACATAGCCAGAACCAATAAAGTTACTGAAGATGAGAAAAAAAATAAAGGTAAACATCTGTCTGAGATTGATAAAGTACCTGTTTATGTCTAGAGCTTATGCTGTCATATGCCAAACCACTACTGTTCCTGAATAGTCCTGGTCTTCAGTGCTATAAGGGACAGAAGAGCCATCAGGACAGGTAACATTCAGCAGCAGTGACAGTTCAGCAACTTGTTCCTGTTCAGAATGCAGTGGGAATCATAAACTGTTGCTTTGCACAGAGGCTGCAAAGCATTCCTGGTTTTTCAGTGTCCCATTTCCTCTGGAAGTCCTACTGGTTCATTCAGGCTTTAACTGAACTCTGGTACTGTAACCTGGCACAGTTCCCAGTTTCTACATTTATTGTGCACAAAATGTTTAATTGGAGCTCATGGAAGAGAGCAGAACAGATAACATGGTTAGACTTTAAAGTTAGGGATGTTTAAGAAATGATACATCACAGGCATAGGAATTTGATTTACTTAATTCTATATGTGTATATGCATATGTATACATTTGTATATACAGCATGATTTAGTTAATTTTTAAGGTGTGTATATGACATTGTCATGTTTATGTCTTAAATTGAATTTTGGGCTTAGCAGCTTAAAACTGTTTTCTGCTGATACAGTTTTTTTACTGTAATACTCTACTGATTTTAATTCAGCATTTGTAATCCTCCCTGCAGAGAAAGCTATGTTTTTGCAAGAAGAAGCCATTGCTGTTAATTCAAAAAAGGAGGAACTCAAGCAAGCTGTATCTCGCACCAAAGAGCTTGAGGTAATTGTAAATATGAATTTAAAGAAGCCTGTATTCTAATTGGTGCAGTTCAGGTATATTATAAATAAAAAAGAAAATGTGAAATAAAAATAATTGTTGAGTAGTACAGCAGTTCATAAGCTTCTAAACTGTTCTTTGTCTGCAGCTGGACTTGGAGTCAGTGAAGGCCCAGGTTCTGTTGGTAAATAAACAGAATCAGTTGTTGACAGAAAAGCTGAAAGAGGTATCAGACTATCCTTTGCTAAAGGAGGAGAAATTGGAGCTCCAAGTGCAGAATAAACTTCTTAGGCAACAGTTGGATGAGACTCGGAGTGAGAACCAGCATCTTCGAGACAGTCAGTGTGAATGATTTAATTATTTTATTGTTTATGTTTCTCTACAAGTATTTGTTTAGAAGTAAATTTTCATTAAAATGCTTTCTTTATATTATGTTTGCTAGTAGTTTGCATGAAGCGCAAGCTAATGTTTGCATATAATTGAGCAGTCCTTGGCATAAGTTTATTTTCTTTTATATGTCTATATGGGAGAAATCCTGAATTAAATGGTAGCTGTAATTTGGAAGGATATCCCTTTCACCCTCTGAAAAAAGCAGTGCAATATTTCTAACCATTGCTTTAGTATGGTTAATAATGTTAAAAGAACTTGGCATTATTATTGAAGCGCTTGCCTGACTACAGTAATAAATACAAAGTATTTCTAATGTGCATTTCAGATTACAGGAACATAGAGATGTGTTGCAGTTATGAAAGATAAGGATATGTATTTTTCTTCTAGTGTAGGATAGTCTGGGTCTAGGTCTTAAAGGACTACACCAACAAAGATTTTGGTCCTTTGTAAAAGGAAGAAGAAAAAGATCTCCAAGTACTTATTTAGAGAAAGCCTTGTTATGTTCCTAAAATCAAATCAGCTTTACATGTTCACAGACTATTGGGTAGAAAAGTGCACACTTGTTATTCTTCATCTGAGTGTCTGGTGTTTCCCTTTTGGGGCAGAACTGTCCCAGCCCTCAGCGGAGTACCTGGCCTGCCAAGTGGAGCTGAGGAGAGTGGAGCATTCTAAGAAGTTGATGCGGGATGAATTTGAAAGTCATAAGCAAATGTTGGAAAAACAGCTACAAAGTGAGGTAAATTATTATTTTGAAATTATTTGAATTTTTTCTTCTTCCTGTCATCTCTTTCACAATTTCCCATCTGTCCATGTATGCCATTTGGCATGCAGTTACAAGGATTGTTTGTACTGTACTTATTTTTATGTGTACAACTCCAAAGAAAACAAAACATCACCACATCAAAAAACTACCAAAACCAGTCCAACATTACCAAGTCTTACTAAGTCATCAAACTGTCAGTGCTGACTTTCAGTAGGATACTAGGTATATATAGTCTGACTAACTGAACAACATTTCAAAACCAAGTATTCAGCCAGTTGAGATTATTCTTCTTGTTTGAATTTATGCTGGTTTTTGTTTTTCTCTTGATTTCCTATAGATTGAGCGTTGTGCCCAGTTAAAGGCCCAACTGTTAGACTCTGAAGCTACTGTCAGGAAGTTAAATGTGCAGGTTGAAGAACTGAAACTGCAAGTGAAGCAAACACAGGCAGGTTTGTATCTTACACGAGAGCAGTTCTTTATGAAGGACAAGTGTAAGAAGTTCCAGAAGCTTAAAAAAACTGCAGTTGTGTAGAACTAACACATCACCAGGGAGTAGATTTTAAACTTTAAAATCAAAATCTGTTTAAAACCCAGTTTAAAAAGGAGACTCCTTACAACCTTCTCTCAGAAAACAAACCTATAGGAGGAAGGAAAATACTCCTCCCTGAGCATTTGCATATATTTATTGTCTGTTTTTCCTCAACATAAGGATATTAATATTTGCTGGTAACATAAACAACATTTTCCAGCAGGCAACTTATGTTTTATTGTGTTTTGATTCTTGAATGTTCATAATAAAAATAATCAATTTGAAATTTTATTTTGTACCTCAGAATTTAAGTCTAACTCTTAAACAGATTTAGTCAAGTCTAATAACTTTTGCCTAACTTATGCTTAACTTATCTCATATGGGCATTAGAAACAGGGGCACTTACATAAAGAAATTCAGTCTGCTGAAGAAATGTTCTTTTAAAGATGTCTGTCTGTCAGTTTGTTAATATCAAGTATTATTAATAAAAGGGTTAGTATGTGTATTTAATGTAAAAATATAGAATTCAGTTCTGCAATGGTTATACATTACATGTGTACACATACAATGTGTTGTCTCATAGTTCAGTATATGCAATATTTTACATTTTATACTATTCACTAGGCTTGCACATATATTTATGGTACACGTATTGGTACCATTTGGAATTGGAAATTTGTTATATGAAACTAGCAAATATATATTTTAATTAAATGACTGAAAATACTGTAGAAACTTTTGTTTTACATCAGAGTTAATGGAGTCATTGAAGAATATTTGTGTAGAATAAAAACAAGGTTGTAAATTTGCTGAAAGATACAGCATCATATTGGTCTTTTGGGCTTGTTGAAGCATACAAGTCCATGGAAGCAGACTGCCCCAAACCATTCAATTTAACTGACAATTTTAGAGTAGTTTTAATGAAAAACAAATCAAAACATTTTCCATGTGCTGTGTTGTTTTCCTTCAAAATTATTTTTTTATTTAAATAAAGGGAAACTGTTAAGACTTGTGGCATGCCCTGTGTTTCTTAGAGTTTACCAGCATTATTAGATATAACACGTCCAAAGTGGTAATGTTTTCATGTTTATTTATTTACTTAAACATAAGTATGTACTCTAAAATATTGTTTTTTAAATTAACAGTGGTTTTACATGAAAGAATTATATATTTTAAAAATAGAAGTGCTAATTTGTAGCTTTGAAGCTGCATTAAAAATGCATTTAAATCAATTTCAATTAAATTATTAAATTCTCACAATGTAAGCCAATTCCGTGGTAGAATGATTTTGATCAAATTGGAATTTAAATGCCATGTTTTACTATTTTTGCTTTGCTGTGGGTTTCCCTCTCTCTCTTTAGTGTCACTCACTTCCTCTTGCTACCGTTTAGCTCTGGAGAATGAGGTGTATCGGAACCCAAAGCCGTCGCTCGTCGACCGCTCCGTCCTCGACTTCCTTGGGGACAGGCTGGTGCCCCCCGACGTTTACGTGGAGGGCGCGCTCCCGAGGAAGCCGCTCCTGCCCGAGGTGGGGCCGGCCAGCGCCGTGCCAGGGCCCGGCTGGCAGCTGCGGCCGCGCAGCGCTTCCCCGGACTCTGACCTGGAGTGCATCGCACAGGCCCGGGCCAGGGTGAAGGAGCTGGAAAAGGAGGCCGAGTACTTGGAAGAAGCCTACAGGAGTTACCAACACAGAGTCATGCTGAATGCAGCTGCAAGCAGAACACCAAGGAAGATGCAGCCTCCTGTAATTCTGCAGTGTCCTCTTAGTAGACACCCTTTGACTACCCAGCAGGAACTGCTAGAGGATAATCCCAGCTGCCCACATTCCCCTCTGAGCAGTCCAAGAGGTGAGGAACGCATCAAAAGAACTGAGCAGGTTGATATCATTAAAACTTCCTTCACGCCACCACACAGAGGAGCATCTTCCAGGCGCCTTTCTTCTACTCCCATTTCCAAACCGAAGAAAGACCTCGGTAACAAGAAAATTCCAGATGGTAAGTCACAATTGTTAATGAGGTGCGGTCATGGGTTTTACTTACTCTTCCTCTTGAGCTCTGTGAACAAAGATGTAGCAGTGTAGTACTTGATTCGTATTTGCTAAGGTGCATGAGAAATCAGGAGATGTGGTTTTGCAGGAGACAGAATATACCAGCTGCTTGGAGTATTGCTTCTTCCTGGAAACAAGTACTGGAGAAGTATGTTGAGGGAAGTTAAACATGCTATAGGGAGCTTCAAGAGAAGACTACACAATATAAATCCCTACAGCTGTAACTTTATGATATACAGAATTTAATTCAAAACTTGTTATTAAGTATAACTACTTTGAACATTATTTGTAATTTCTTAACTCTCCTATATTTCTAGCCTGTCATTCAACTGTTGTAGTTAAAGTGTGTGGCAGAAGATGTCTTTGGCTTGTCTTAAATCAAGCTTTCCAGTCTGGAGGGTCAGATTTCCTTTTGTTTGTTCTTTTTGCTATGACATCTTTATAAAATACTCCTCAGCAATTGTAAGGAGGAGGGACCTAGTTTGAAAAAATTTAATTTGCTTTAATATCACAGTTTCTAATAATTGCTTAGTCTTTTTTTTTTTAAGGACACTACTCAGAAAAGCAAGCAAAATAGAAACAAAATGTAAAAAAATAATTTCTTGTTTCAAATCTGCAGTACATCTGCTTCTTGAGTGACGCAATTTTTTTCACCCTGGCTCGAAGTGGATTTAATAGGATTAAAAAAAAGAGACAGTAACAAAAAAAAAAGATAATGATCAGCTGCTCCATGAGGGAAGGTTAAATACAAGGACAGCTTAGTTTGGAAGAAAGATGGCTGTGGGAAATCTGGAAAACAATGAGCCATGTGAAGAAGGTGAAACGGGATCAACTGATTACTGTTTCACAGACCCCAGAATCCCATGACATTGAAAGGAAATAAAATTAAACGCTTTTTTCATACCCTGAGTAAGTTGTGTAATTCATTGCTTCCGTGATAATAAGTATAGATGCAGGAATACAACTTCTCTGTCAGGACAATCCAAAAAAGTATTGATTTGAGGAAAGTTGGGATGGGTTTTGCCAGAAGATACAAGTATTCTCCATTTTCAGTTTTAGTTTAGTTTCGATTGGTAATGGGCACTGTTAGAAACAGGTTATAGACACTGATTGATTGTGGCTATCCCTGTGGTTCTGCATATAGAGCATCATACTGTTACTAAAAACATTTTTGAAACTTGAACTTCCAAAGCAATCTTTCATGTTGTAAGTTCTCTCTGTCAGCTTCTATGTAAAATACCCACAGACTGTTTGTTTAGCACTGCACATGGACAAAAATCTTTCGTAATACTAGGATTTTGTTGAAGAATTAGGCAATGTTAAAACTATAGTTGTGTGCATAACTTGAATAATCCTTGCTGTCTTTGTACTTTTCAGAAGCTAGTTACAGGATGGCAGTTCTCTTTTTTTTCAGTTGGATCTGTTCTTTGCTTAATGCACAAAACTGACTGGTTCTTGAGAGGGGTAAGAATTTAATAATAAAGGAGTGCATTACCTGACTCAAGAGTTACAGAAATGGAGTGGTGTGGAGTGTAGGAAAATTGCTGCAGCTGAGTGATAGGATATAAGGTTAGCTTCAATGCTAACTGTGCTGTTAGTGGGATTTGTCAGCTCCCACTTAGATTGCTTCTCCACTGAGATGTCACTTCCCTCTCATGAGTCTTCTGAGGAGTGCTTTTATACTGGTGTAAATATATTATTCTTCTCTGCTAGAGATGGCGGAAGCATCAGGTGTAGTTTTGCTAGAAAACTCGTAAGTCATTCTGGAAGCTTCTGTGGAGCTTTTTGGTGCTGTTGGAAATACCAGCAACTGAACAACTCAGGGTAAATTTAAAGAGGTAGAAGATACCATGCATGTGAGTCTGAGATTTGGTTTTTTTCCTTTGAGTGAGGCTAAGTGCAGCTCAGTTGTCAGCACCTGTCTCTGGAGAACAAAAGGAAGAAGTATGTCCTCCTCTAAACTACTTAGAGTTGGCAGATCCAACTGCTGTTTTACTGCATAATGCGCAAGTGGAAGGATTATGCAGTTTTTGATTTTCCTTTAAATTATGCATTTGGCTGTTTTCCTTCCTAAGTCCATGCACATATAACCAATAATGCATGTGTTGTACAACCAGCCTTGTCTGACAAATAGTAGGACAAATAGCTAACACAAATTGTTGGATTTTTATTCTGCAGACATCAAGAGCTCATCCCTTACCTCTTCACAGCAGAGTGTTGACCAGGTTCTTTCTCCTATTTCAAAGCCATGTTTGCTTTCATCTTCTGAGTCTGTTCCTTCCTCACCATCCAGTCATGGCCAGAAAACCAGGTAACATTGTTTACAGTGAAACATTTTTAACCTGCTTTTTAAAGAAATATTTATCTAATTGCTCACAGTGATAGCTGCTTTTACCAGTCAAGCAAGCCATTGATTTTATAAGTGAAAACTTTTCTAAAGATGAATAAGAATTTCCATTTTAAATATCATGCCCCAAGTGGAACCTAGTTACAAAAAAACTTTGGTTTGCTCTGAGCAAAGCCATGTCTCTTTATTTTGTCTCTATTTTTCACATCTGTGACCTGACTGATGAGCTTTTGCTAATTGAAGCATTTGAATTTCTGCTTCCTGTTTGAGAATTTAAATCAAGGCAATCGTACATTCTCACTTCATTCATTAACAAGCTGTAATGCTACATTTATTACTTCCTTTCTCTCTCTGAAGAACTTGTTCATGTGCCTGTTCAAAGTAAGATTTTCCAGTCTCCTTTGCATGTGGGAATGGGATGGGTAGCACATCTCTTTTCTTGTTGTTTTTTTTAAAGATCTTTTTAAGGTAAATTAATAATGTGACAAAATTAGGCTGCATTAAAATGGCTTCTCTTTCATCTCTGTATCTCCTATTTCCATGTCTGGAGTTCTTCTGTTCTTAATGTCCAGTGTTGCCTCCACTCTCCAAAACTAAGAATCCTGAATGTGTCTTCAGAAGCAGCTCTAGGATTTAACTTTTAATATTTTTTTCCTCAGAAGACACAGATGAATTGTCCTTAACTTGCTAGCCATCATTCCTGATTTGATGGCTGAAGAAAGGCAGCTTGTGCTGAGGCAGCTCTAGCAGGCATTTGTAGGCCTTTCTTATTTTGTTGTTATCAAGGCCTCAACATACATTTAATGCAGAGAGGGTCTCTTATCTGGTTAGAATTTTGGTAGAGCCTTTATGTTTTTGTCTTCAAAATGAGCTGTTGGGATATTTAGGGACTGTGAGGTCAGTTTCCTTTAAGTATTCCCTTGAGGCTGTGTCTCCTCTCCTTACCCATTCCCATTTTCTGTGGTATGTCTCAGAATTCTTGTACTTCTCTGACAGACCTTAAAAAGTGGAGGTTGAATGTTAACCTGCATGTTAAGGTGATAGGGGAAAATGCTCTAATCCTTTGAGGGACTGGACTTCTTTGAAGGATTTTGTAGACTCCATCCTGCTTGAAGAGTGAACAGTATGAAAAAGTTATGTTGCAGAGGACAGACCTGGGTCTGGGAAGGCAGCTCTAGTTTGTTGTTGCTTTCTTGGGTCTCTTATGACAAAGGAAGGATATGAGGTCCCAAAATTGTCTTGAACTTGCTGCTTTCCCAAGACTTTCACAAAGGAAACACAATCTTTTGTTGCGTATTTTCTAATTTCATGTGCTTTGGACTGTTTTTTGTTACATGAAATATTTGAGAAATGCATGTGTGGGCTTTTCCAGTTATTTACTCGTATTATTAGGCAAATGCTACATTGCTGATGTGTATTGTGGGATTAGTTTATGACCTGTAGATTTTAAGTAGCAATGGGAACTTCTTTGAAAAGGCAAGAAAAGCAAATATGATGCTGTAACATCCATGACTAGAGTGATGAGGCAGATTATTACCTAACTTCTTGTTTGTTTGTTTAGGCCAAAAGAAACCAGTTGAGGGTTTTACTGAGGCAGTGAGTTCTCTCTCTAGCAGTGTTGAAGGACACAGTATTGAAGGAAGCAACATGTGTGTCCTTGACCTTTGCACACTTAAGAATTATTTAGCACTTAACCATTTCTGTGAAGGAAAGACTTAAAGCATGAAATAGATTTCCAAAACTTGAAATTTCATTTACACTGTCCTATTTAATTTACAGGGTATTTTTCCCCACTGACATCACTGAACTATCCTTCTGGTAATGCAGATTTATTTGTCTGTGCCCAGATTCACTTTTTGCTTATGAACAAATCTCATTGTTGAGGGTATGTTTTGTATTGTTTGTATTGTTTGTTCTCCACTTTTGCCCCATGGAAGACCTCTATTCCTTAGAAACTGTAGGCACAAACAGGCTGTGATGAAGAGCACCAGCTGGTGTGAAATAAGCTCCTTTATGAATTGCTGATGCTGAATTTCATTAGTGACCTGCATTCCTTTTGCTGTTCTGGTTCTGGTCAGAGTTTAGTAGCTGGGTCACGTGGGAAACATTGTTCTTTCACATCTTTCTGATGAGATAAATGGGGATTTAGAATGAGGGCACTAACCCCATTTTGATAGAACCCAGATTTTCACCCCTGCATCTCTTGTTGTGCCAGACATATAATCCTAATACATTTCAAACACATCTGTTAAGATGACATCAAAATGGGAATTAAACTGTAACACAAAGCTTAAAAAGGCAAATTGCTTAATTTCAGTTGACAGTTATAATTAATTGTATTTCTTGTTTTTTATGTTTTTAATTCCTCCTTTTATTTTGTTTTCATGTAATAAAACTGGTGTAGACCTTGAGGAAAGGCTGAAGGGGAATGGAGTAGACTTTTGGTAAAAGAGAACTGGATTTAAATACCTTAAATTTGAGTCAGAAAGTTTCATGGATTTTAGGTTTGGTTTAGTCTCTTGATTAGCATGTGAGTGATTTTCATATGGCTATTTGCTTACAAGTTCACCATTTATATTTATTAACTTATTTATATTCTTCCTTATTTTTTTCAGACTTCAGAGTCAACAAACAGATAAACAAGATCTCAGTGATATCCACAAACCAGAGAAACTGAGGTATGAGGATCTTGAAGAACACATTAATACTCTTGAAGGTAAGTTTTAGTACATTTCAGACAGTTTGTTTAACACCTTAGGGCTTAACAGTTATGGGACAACTGCCTTCATGATTTTAAGACTGTAGTTAGAGAGAAAAATTTCTGACTGATTTTTGGAATTAGAGAAAACAAATGTCTTCGATTATGAGGTATTAATTTTCTTCATTCTTGCATCTTTAGGTAAGTGTATATAGTAATAAGCAGACATTAAATTGAGTTGGTTCTAACATTTGTAACATATATTTGTTCAAAAATCTTGCATAGCCTTGCTCTGATTAATGCTGTAGGTCTGACAGTTGCTTTGGAATGTTTTTAAATGGTGTAGAATTTTTTTTTTAACAGAAAAGTGTATCAGTATGTGAACTAAATTGAGGCTTTATTGTATTTGCTGCATAAATCAGAACCAGATTATAAGTCTAAAAATTGGTTTCTGCAGCTATTGCATGCACTCTTAATTTTTCCTTCAGTAACTGAGGCTTAAATAGTAGTATGAATTAGAAGTTGCTTTAGGTTGCATGTAAATGTGGGAAGAAAGAACTCTTGCAGTTATGCTGTCATCAGTCAGCATCTCTGAGTAGTTTTGGAGAATGTGGTTCAGTTACTGAAACCTAAATTTTATCCTAACTTTTTTTCCCTCTGAGGTCAGTATTTCATTTATTTGCATTTCTTCTCTCTGTTGATTGCAGGCTATAAAATGTTTCCTTCTCTCTGTATGCTGCAGGGTCAGTTTTCACAAAATTCTGGTGTAACTAAGGTAGTGTAGAAGGAAGAGGGTAATCAAACTTGATGTCCCTTAATAGCCATTTGTGTATTGAGTGAGAAATAGAAGTACAGTTACTGGCCTTATTTAGTTTTGAGTGACATCCTAATGTTGAACCTTAGCAGCCTTATCTCCCATGAAACTGTGAGTTTAAAGTAAATGAAGCTGTCAATGAGGAAGATGTGAACAGCCAACTAACTTTTCCTATTTCCAGATTTCACAAGGTCTGTCAAGTCCTGAGGCTCAGTGGACGTGTGGCATTGTGTGGTGTAACTAAACTCATAGGTGATGAAGAGATTGTGGCTGTTGTCTGGGAGAGTTTGGGTATTTTCCTTGGAATCAGTGATTCTATCTGGTGTGAGTGTTTTCTTGGGTCCCAGATTGGTTTATTCTTTTGGTTGTGGTTAGGTCATATGGAAGATGGAGTAGAGCCATTGCTCACTCTCCTGACCCTGTGAGAATATGGCTTTCAGTATTCTAAAAGCAAGCAATCAAAAAAGATGTTTGTTTAAATAGCAGATGTGCTGATAGTGTTTTGTGATAACTAGCAGAAGATAATGCCTCATCTGTGTCTTCCTCTGTGAAGCTTTACTCATTACTCAGCTGGTTCTATTTATCTCATTTATTTCTTTTATAAGCTTTAAATGAATTATTTGAATGTGAACCAAGCCTATAGCCACTAATGGTTTCTACTCATTTTACATTTAAATTTGACTTATATTTATTTATTTTATTTTGTATGGGAGACCTTTGGGAATACATTACATATGTCACTTCTATTTTATTACATGTGACAGCAGACTGACATTGTCTTGGCAATTAGGGCTGAGTAGATGCTGTGGCCAAGTAAGGTACTGATGAATCATTTGGAGGTGTGTGGTGGTCAGTAATTGGAAGAGTTCACATATGCTGACCATTTCTCAATCAACAGTACTTCAGCTGGATGAGCCTGCAGCAAAAGAAAATCTCAGTATGTAGGGGGAAATCAGATTGGCTGAAAAGGGGAGGAGGTGGCTCAGGAGAAATTGCAGGGAGAGGTGGGTAAGAAAGTAAAATCTAAGAAGTAAATACAGAAAAAGATACAGAAAAAGTGAAGGATGAAGTTGATAACAGTAAAAAATACAATTACTTAAAGGAGATGCCAGAAAATATGGAAGTCTTTTAGTCCTACTGTGAGTGAGTTCCAGAAAGAAAAGATCAGCAGATTATCTTGGCAGCAAGTACTTTTGGGTGATGTTCTCATCTTAAGGGAGTAATGCATCTCTTGCTGTCCTCTCTTAAAAAGGGAGCGAAAGTCTACAGAATTACCTTTTTTCTCCTTTGCAAAGTAGTTAATTTCAGATGTTTGTTTATTGTTAATGGTGGTGGTTTGGGTTTCTTTTTTTGTTTATGTTGTTAGCAGTCATTTTGAAGTTAGAAGTAATATTTAACTGTGACAAATTTATGAAAGGAATTTTTTTATTTAAATACACATGATGCTTATTGGTGCCTCATATGGAAATAATGTTGTTGTTGACAGTTTTATAATTAAGACAGAGCAACAAAACAGAATAGATTTTCTTTTGAGTGTCACAGCCCATTATTTTTGTCTTACGAAACACCCCATATATAGAATTTATTTTCCTAGGTGAAGCTGGTAGGAATTCCTCTTGCTTTGGTAGGAAACTGAAATAATTCTCCTAACTTGGAATGACAGCTTGACAGAAATTTTTCTGTCATCTACAGTTCCTTTAAAAGTTTTAATTTAAAGAAATTCAAACTATTCAGAGAGAGGCTAATCAGTTTGGTTGACCTCTTTTTCATGTAAAATATTTCAGTTTTATTATTATGTAAAAAAGAAAAAAGCTTGAGACATTGCTAGTATATGAAGGATGAAAATTGATGTTTTCTAAAGCTTTACCCAAAACCTAGAGATACATGGAGTATCTGTGCTATGTAACACAAAAGGCTTGAGAAAATAGTCCTGTGTATTTCAGGTTGGCTATCTAGAGGTAATGGCCACATATTGTTTTATCTCTTTTTTTCTGTCTCTCATCAAATGAGATACTTGCAAATATGCAGACTGCTATTAAGTAATTTAAAAGCAGTTCAATATCACAGCAATCAAAGAAGCACAGTAATTGTGTTTTTGTGAATTCAGAGCCAACCTTACACAGGGAAAAGATAGTATAATGTAGAATACCTGAGTTAGCAGCAATCCATCCTGTGCACTGAAGTAGGCAAGGACCCCAGTGAAAGAGTGTGTGACCAAATAGTTAAAGATTATTTTTATACGCATAAAAATGATGAGCTGAACTTGGATGTACAATTTTTCTGTTACTTGTATCTTGATTATGTAAAGAAATGAAAACATCTTGGGTTTCTGTTGTTTATTTCTACAGTTTTGGCTTTATAAATACATGTGTTCCAATAGCTAATTTCAAAACTAACAATTCTGTAATTAAGGAAGCAAGTACAGCTTATGATAATTCTTAATTCTCAGAGAGATGATCAAGTTGAAGGGAAAATACTCAATTAGTACTGGTATTTTTGTGTTCTAATTTAGCCATTCCCACAGTCTCTGTCCATTGCTGTGCTCCACTTTTGCAATTACAAAATAATGAAGCCATTGTTCAAATTTCTTGTCCAGATCAGGGGGACATACCAGAGGAGTGTCAAAGTGATGTCTTGCATCCATCTGGGGACATTGTCGATGAAAACTGTGTCACAGCCCCTGTGCCAGCAACAGCCACTTCACTGCAGGACTTAAGTGAGTTCTCAGCTCAGACACAAAACAAAGTACCCTTTCTAAATGTCAAATGTGTAACACAGAAAGCCAAATATTTAAGAGTCTATAGGTATGAAGGCTGGTGTAGTTGAAAAATTTTCCAGAAAGTGCCATTTCTGTAATAAAGAAAAAGGAGTGTTTTCCTTTGCTTTTCTGTATGAGGATGACTTTTTTAATCCTGGTTTTAGTTGAATTTGCTTTTAATTTAAACATTCTTGTAACATATCCTACCCCTCCATCCAGCCTCTTGTGAGATGATTATTTTTTCTTTAGGATAATTATTAAATATAATTTCTGCTCTTTATAGGAATGAGACATTAAATATTTGAAGTATTTTATGTACTGCTTGTCTGGATTTTTAAAAATTTATTCTTGACTCTGTTGTTGTACTGTATTATTAAAACCTTAATTAAACATTAACATAACATTAACAATGAAAAGCATTAAAACAATACAGTTTTAATTCTTTGGCTAGATGAGAATAATATCTCATAGTCAGCATATGTTGCTATTCTAATTGTTCTAGATGGAAACATTATGATTCTTTTTATTTAGAGAAGGGCTTTCTAGCTTCTCATGATTCCCACTCCTTAGTTTGCCCATCTCATTGCTGTCTAATGCTGTTCTTTGTACACAGCTTTTTAAATACATTGGTCATATCACCAGTGTGTCCTGCAATAATTTTCCAAGGGGTTTTAAATACTTTGCTTTATAAATATAAAGAATTGTATCCAACCACATTGCAGAGGGGGAAATAATACAGTAACATGGACTTTGGGATAATAAAGGTTTGTTTTATAAGCATGTCCATGAAAGGAATGAGAAGTGCATAGATCTGTCAAATCTCTGGCCTATACTTTGGCTCTACTCCTTAACTCCTGGTGAGTCATTTATCAGACAAAAAAACGTTGAGAGGTGGGAAAACCCATTATCCCATACCCAAGAGTAAGTTTGGTGTATGTACAAACAATATATCCAGTTGGTTTTCATTTGCTGTTAACGTTTTACAGGAACCTGGTACTGATTTGTATGCTCTTGTAGCGATTACTGAACTACATAAATCTAATTACAGATGTTGAAATAATTTTTCACAGCAGTGCTGGATCAAAGGCAGATTGAAGAACAGAACAGAGAAGTTGAGAAAAACTTAGAAGAAGAAAGGAAAACAGGAGAAGAAAGGAAAGAGAAAGAACAAGAAGCTTTGGAAAGTGAGCAAAAAGAAGTGGAAAAGCTTAATGAAGAGGAGGTAATTTAATCTCAGACACCAATGCAGCTTTGTAGTGGCTTGCGTTTTAGGATTGTTTTATGTGTAACTTGGTTAAAAGTAGATTTTTATTCTGTGAAGTGAAAGTAGCAGAGGCCAAGTTATTTTATGTACTTGTGTGATTAACCAGAGTCTCACTAGGGTGTCTCCTTATGCCAAGTGACTTTTTCACTGGAAACAGATGCCTTGCCTTCCCTGCCTCATGTAACTGGAAGCTACAATTTCATGGCCACTGTCACCATGCTGTTGGAACAAGTTGAACATTTGCTGTCTCTGTGGTGTGGCCACTGCAGGTGGGGACACCACCAGAGTATGTTCATGTTCATCTGTCAGGGTTTCCAGGGTATTCAGGGAAGCAGAGGGTATAAGGAGACCTTGAGTTTGTTTAAATCCCTTTGAGCTTAGTGTTTAGTGTTCTGGATTTTTAGGTCCTGTTTAATGCTGTTTAGACTGGTGTGTTTTACTGAGTTTAACGTGAAATTCTGCATGTATTGCAGGTAGTAAGGTATAAATGTATTTTTTGAATCCGTATTTATTTTTATTTTTATTTTTGTGTCTTAAAGTATATCCAAGACTTGAAAACAGATGAAGAAATAGAAGATAAAGAGGGAGTAAAATCTGAGCATAGTAACGCTGCTGCTGAAAATAATGTAAAGGATCCTCCTTCCAACCCATTAGAAAAATATATGAGAATAATTCAGCAGAGGAGAGAGCAGGAACTGGCAAACAAGGTGATTATTCTCAAAACACAGTCCCAGAAATATTGTCGATCAAATTTGTGTCTTACTAGGCATGCTTAGAATGAAAACAATATTCACATTTAATTTTCTCTTCATTTATAAACTTTATGTAACAACCTGCAGAGCAGAGTGTTTGGATTTATGTTGGAGAAGTGTGATGATCCAAAAGAAAAAAACAGAGAAAACTTTGTTCTGTAAGGATTGCTTGTATCCTCTGGGAGGGGGGTTTGTTAGTTTGTTTTTTAAAGTACTAGGACAGTATTTAAAAGTCCTCAATTTTTAGCATAAACTGCGGTTAAATATTTTGAACCTACACATGTCAGGTTGTGTTCCTCTAACAGAACAGAATTTATTCTGGCAAAATGGAAAACTGGACTTTTAAAGAAGAGGTATGGGTAGACATTACTTCAGTGAAGGAATGTAGGATGCTTTTGTTCAGACATGATCCCAAGCTAAATTTCTGAAGTGTTACCATCCTAGATCCAGTGTAGCATTTGTAGATATAGGGTTGGTCCTTCTGAAGACTTTTATTTTCAGTTATGAGCCTTAAAAATCCAGATACTATTATTAGGTCACTTTGATATTAGAACTGGTTAGAGAAAGAGAGAAAGTGTATTTTCCTCTTGGTTACCAGGATTCAAAAAAAGAAGAAATAAGAGAAGAATCACCTTCAGAAGGACTTTTATCTACTGAAAATGATGACAGGTAAGGCTCATGTATTAATCACTTCTAGTACTCCATATTAACAAATAATAATAGTAATTACTCTAATATATAGTTGTAATAGATTTAGTATGAATGTTAAGAGACATCTGCCTCCTTAGAAACCAAAATAAATTATTAATCAAAAGCAATTATTGTACATGCAAGTTAAGCACTGTATGTACCTCACATCTAAAAGCTGCACTTTATGATCTGTATCAGTAGTTGTGGAACTCACAACTTTTTATCTGCAACTGAGCAGCATCCAACTTACTTCAGAGAGCTGGAGTTTGAGGGATTGTTCTTGGGTGATGACACCCTGGGTGAATGTTTGTCTGTGCTGCACCTCACCCATAGTCTGTTCCTAGCTTTGATTTTTCAATAGCATTGTGTACTTTTAAGATACTTTATTCAGAGATTTTGTCTGCCTGCACTGAGTTACAACAACCCAGGCATTTCCTCTGGCTCTCTCTAGGCATTGATAAATACAGATGTCTATTTAAGTTGCTTACAAGAGAAAAACTAAACAATCCTCCTCCAAATCTTTCAGTTTATTCCAAGATGTAGAATTTAAAATAAGCAAAAAATGCGGAGCAGTTAGGAAAAAAATCCCATAAAGGCTCACTAGAACCATAGTAATGATTCACTGTTATCTGTGGTGTTAAACAGACCCTACCCTGCTGCTCCTAAATTGGCACCAGTTCTATTGTTTTAACTTGGTGAGCACTTTAGAAGATAGTTCTGCTTTCTGAGTTATAGGTGATGGCTTTCAGTTAATGAAGGTCCAAATCCTCCTCCTTTAGGGTTAGATTTATTGCCAGTTCACTGAAACAGGAAGAGAATTGCAGCAAAGGCAGTCGCTTAACTTCTGTTTTAAAATGAGTATTAAGATTTAAGATAAACTACATTGGACTCATACCACTTTGTTTTCCTCCCTCCTATAATCAATATAGTGTTGCAGACATTTCTCATGAAGACATGGATGAAAGCTTCTGGTGAATAATAGCTACTGATTTTTAAATTGTTATTATTATAAATATTGTTTTTATTATGAGAGATATTTTTAAAGTATTTTTGTGCCTTTAATAAATGTTAGGCACCAACACTGCAGGCTGTGTAATTATAAATTAATAAAGCAGATTTTGATTTGTTTCATCACTTCAGTCATTCATTTCAGACAGGGAGTCCTGATGTGTTACTAATTCAGAAGGAAGCCCTTGGGTGGGGTGAGAGAAAAAACAAAGCAGGGAACAGAAACTGATTAGTAGTTTTTGGTAGATTTGTGTTGGCACTGAATTCCTCTAAACTTTGTCAACTTTGCCAACCCCCACCCCCCAACCCCTTCTCCAAATGGTTCAAAGTGTGGATGAAAGGAACAAAAAATTCCCTCATCATCACCTGCTTTTAAAGGTGTCCTGTGGAGGCACTTGGCTCACACAGCGTCAGTGCACTGAGTGTGACAGACCCAAAATAAGGTGTCCCTTCTGCTGCACAGCAGGGGCAGGAGCCACTTTCAAAAGCAGCCCCTCTCATTTATCACGTTGCTATTAACCAGCCCAAAATGGAGAGATTAAAATAAAAATGCTATTTAACTCAACTTTATTTAAGCTTTGTATTTTGTAGGTAGATTATAGGCAAGATCATTAAACTTTATTTACAGTATAAAATACAGTAGTTTTTATCAATGAAGTAATTTTTGGGTGGCAGCATATATTACAACTTGCACTGCATTTGAGGCTGCTCATCTTGACCTAACTACAAGAACATGAAGCCAAGTTTGACAGAATTTAGGGGCAAAAAACCAAAGTTCTGTCTTAAATTTGCTGGACGTTTAAACACTATGTACCAAAACTGTGACAGATAGAAACTTTGCTTTTTGAAATGGAGCTAAAATGTGATGTGGTGGTTACTCTGATTTTGCATGCTGCTTAATTTGCTGTTGCAGCCACTCTGGCCTTTACAGAATTTCTGAGTGACTGCTCCAGTTGGATGTTGGGAAGGAAGTGCTTGTTGCATTATGCTGGCCAGGAACAACTACCACTACTGCATGCTGCACACAACTGCTGCTGCAGCTGCACCTGCAGAGCAGCCCTGCCCCATGCAGGAGGGCAGGGAACTCTGGAACAGAACATGTTTCACCTCAGATAGAGACATAAAGCCTAGAGATGCACTGCCATGGAGTAGCTGTAGGTCTGGGTTCAAATAAGCATACACAAGTGTTGTCTATTATCTACAAATATTTATTTTAACACTTGGATGTAACTACAGGAAGCCCTTGGCACTGATAGAAAATATTGATTCACTGTTAGGTTACAAAAATTTATACATAGCAAAATTTAATGCTCTTTACATAAAAATATTAGACTACTTAAACAAAACTTCAAAAACTCCCAGTAATAGCTACACTGAATTAGAAAAGAATTAGGCTTTAAGACACTGCCTCCATTATTACCCTTATGCAAACACTGGGCTAGAACATCACCTGCATTGCTGTAGAAATGTCTCCTTCATGCAACAGGTAAGAACATACACTAGGCTATTTTGTCATATTTGCTCTACATCAATCAACTTTGCCCCTTTTTTGAAACTGTCAAATTAGACTTCAATAGTTAACAAAAGAAATTATATTTGAAGTTAATACCCCCCAAAATTTTCTCTTAATACTGATTTGAAGGAATCTGTGCTTCCTTTGATGTATATTCAGCAAACAGTCATAACTACCAAACCACATATCAGCTTAGCAGGGGTATGACTTGAATATTTAATCTTTTCAAATGAATGATGTATTTTTACTTTCCCCCCCCCAACATTTATATATATATATATATATATATCATATAGAACAAACACCAAATATACCATCACTAATACTCAAGATATCACTGAATGCTTCTGAAAAAAAACATTAATTAGAAGGCAGACTTCTATGGGAAATGACTTTAAAATGGCACCAGTTTGTTTGTTGGTTTTTTTCTGAACACCACGTTTTCTTAGTGTGCTAATTAATTTGTAAAAAGGAAAACACATAAGCACTGACTATAAACTTGCTAAGCACCAAGATTGAGAAAGGTGGACATCCTGTATTATTTTTATGGCTGCAAATTTTATTGTTTGTGTAAAACTCTGCAAACTTTCTCATCCGCTCATTTGGAATTGTCAGATCAGTGTCATTTTAATAAGGTAACACTTTTACTTACTTAAAATGTAGGATAATGGTCTCCTGCCACTGTATAAATGCTACAACATTTATAGAAAATAAATATTAAGGCAAAGCTGACATTTATTTTCAAAGAAGGGGATCATTATCCAGATCCAGGGATCTACATTCCATTAAATAGTTAATAAAAAGATTAGAACTTGGGAGATCTGCTCAACCCTCAGGTGAGCACAGGGATGGAACAGCTTCATTGTGGCAGTGTGTGGCACAGGAGTGGA